ATTCCTTAAAGTAAAGCCCAGTGAGGCTGGTACTGTTGTTCCAACTTTACAGGTGAGGGTTTGGAGACAGTGAAGTGATGCGACCAAGTCCTCACAGCTAGTGAAAGTGGAGCTGGAATTTAGGCACTAGAGGTCTGAACCCCAACTCCTGCACTCAACCAAGCTGCCTCCTCAGGGAAGGACCCTGCATGGGATCCCTGAAGAGTCACAGCATTTATGTGGACTTTTTTCTCTCCAGGTCCTTTGGTTAGAAGTGATATTTCTTGATTGACTTGGTACTAGTATTTATAACCTTTGAATAAAGACAAGGGGATGAGACCTAGAGCTTCCTGGTTCAAAGTGAACACGGTAGCAGTTAGGATGAGAAGATTACAGCTGGATGAGTTCTCGCGACAGCTTGGGGCTCCCTTGTTCCTACTCTCTGGCAGAAAGCTGAGACATCCATGATGGGCATATAGTTTCTGGCCCTTTGTCAGGAAGCAAAGGAATTACCAGAGCTATTCCATTAATAGAGTGAAAGATTATATCTATGCTATATTTTCTATTTCTTGAATATTAAACATATTTAAAAGTTAATGTATGATCAAAGTATAGTGTGAGAGCCATCAACATACCCAAGATGGGTATTTTTTTTTGCAGCTATTAATATTTCATCTCTACCCATTTTTTTTTTTTTTTGATACAGAGTCTTGCTCTGTCTCCCAGGCTGGAGTGCAATGGCACAATCTCAGCTCACTGCAACCTCTTCCTCCTGGGTTCAAGCGATTCTCCTGTCTCAGCCTCCTGAATAGCTGTGATTACAGGCACACACCACCACGCCCAGCTAATTTTTGTATTTTTAGTAAAGATGGACTTTCACCATATTGGCCAGGATGGTCTCGATCTCCTGACCTCGTGATCTGCCCTCCTCGGCCTCCCAAAGTGCTGGGATTATAAGCATGAGCCACGGCGCCCAGCCCTCTACCCATTTTTAATGTAGATTTGTGTTTCAGTGCAGGTGTGGGTTCTTTGGGCTCTGTCAGAGCTCTTTAAGGAAGCTTTTTCTTCACATAGACTAGCATGTAAGCTTTGCCTTTAGTCCTTTGAAGTTTGTACAAAGTGCTTTGGTCTTTGTTTCTATATCTGTTTTGTGGAGGGATTGTTGATTTGATTCAAAAGAATTCCATTTTATTGCAATTTAAAGATAACACCTTAGTAAGAAACATAATAATGAGTATCAATACAATTTGAGTCAAAATTGGACATATTTTAAGTAGGTTAATGCAATTTAATTGTTCTCTGACATTGTATGAGTATTATTTCCTGAGCTTTTATGATTTCAGGCTTTTTCTTGCTAATTTACATTTCTATAGGTTAAATAAATGTATTTAATCAGAATTTGAGAGCATCTGTGTGTCATGTACTATGTGAGGCATTTTTAATCAGATATTTTTATGTGCTTGCCAACTGGTAGACCCTGGATTAAGGCAGTTGGAATATAGCAGTGAACAAAATCACAGAAATCTTTTTGGATTCAGGTGGAAGAGAGAAAAACATGCATATAGTAGATGGTTTTAAATACAGAAATGAAGCACAGATGAGAGATTGGGTGAGTCAGGTGGGCTAGTTGCAATTCTAAATATTGGGCTCCAGTGATGAGCCTTGCTCTCACATGGCTTACAGCCTTGTAATAATTCTTTGTTCAAAGAATTGTTGTTCTTTGATCATAGTGTAGAGTAAGGGCTATCAACATACCCAAGATAGGTATTTTTTAAAACTATTAATATTTCATCTCTACCCATTTTTATTGCAGATTTGGGTTTCAATGCCAGTATGGGTTCTTTGGTCTCCCCTCCCCTCCCCTCCCCTCCCCTCCCCTCCCCTTCTCCTCCCCTCCCCTCCTCTCCCTTCCCTTCCCTTTCTTTTTTTGAGACAGGGTCTTGCTTTTTTACCCAGGCTGGAGTGCAGTGGTATGGTCATAGTTCACTGCAGCCTTGAATTCCTGGGTTCAAGAGATCCTTCTGCCCTCCGCCTCCCAAGTAGCTGGAACTATAGGCATGTGCTACTATGCCTAGCTAATTTTTACGCTGTTTAAGAAACAGGGTTTTCCAGGCTGATCTTAAGCTCCTGGACTCAAGCGATCCTCCCATCTTGGCATTCCAAAGTGTTGGGATTACAGGAATGAGCCACTGTGCCTGGCCTGTTTCTTGATGAACACTTCACCACGAGGCTAGGGACTCTGCTAAGTAAATATGTACATTTCCTTCTAATCCACTGAAGATTAGAAGGGCATTATTCCTACAGAGGCTATTATTCCTACTTTTTCTGGAAGGAAACCAAAGCCATGAGAGTCAAGTAGATTGCCAAATGAACACAGTGAGATCCAGATCTGACTCCAAAGCCCATGCACTTAAACATGGTATCAGACCATGTCAACTTTGGACATATTTGTAATGGAAGAATTATCCAACTTTGGAGCTAAGGCTGTCTTTTATTTCATTCTGACGTTTTGTGCAGTAGGTTGGTTGGGTCATAGAGTGTGCATGTTACCTGTGTTAGTGTGAGCTTCCCTCTACCATTGCAGTAGTTCTATTTTAAAGGGGTTAGGGTTATGCCCTGTGGCCACATGACAGGCAAAGGAGCTGCTTGGTTACTGACTTCCATGCAGTGGGATGCATTTGTTTGTAAGAGTGTGAACTCTGTTTACTCCAGCAAATCATTGACTACTTGAATTCCTGGCATTGCATTTCAGAGATAGGACACTAATTTGGCTGGCCTATGTATCATGTCCAAGAGCATGTTATAAATGCTCACATTTAGAAGGGAATGTAAAGTGAGTTAAAGGTAATAATGCGAAGGTCACTGCTCACTGCGTTTATCACAGAATAGGCCATCCCTTGTATTTCCAATGATTGCCTTATCATGATAAAATGTGAAAAGCAAATGAGTGTATTGGATCTGAAATCTTCATTGAGGGCTGTAGAAAGGAGATCAAGGGTTCAAGAGAGCTGTGTTTCTCCTTCCTGCCTTGAGTGTGAGGCAGATCCAATGTGGGAGGATGATCAGCTGAGTGCATTCTTTGTCTGGGTGTTGATGGTTCTTTTGTGCTTTGGCTAATTTAATGTTTGACATGTGTATGTTGGTCATTAGTCCAAAAAAGGGGCTATATATTTACAACTCTGCTATTTTTTGTTGTCAGTTTCTAGTGACTTCCCCCGCTTACTACTTCCAAGTTAAAGTGCTGTGGATTTTTATAAGGATTTTCTTTTTATTCAAGAGATAAGCTATGGTTTGATAACTTGTGCTGTGGAATTTTTTCTACTTGTTTACTTTTTTGAGGGATAATATACAGAAAAGTATACATATTATGAATACTTTTTGGAAACTGAGTGCACTTAAGTAACCAGTTTCCAGATTGAAGCACAAATGATTGGCATCCTAGAGGCCCCCATCCTCTTCCAATCTCTTCTGTCATTCTCTTCCCACAAGGGTAACCACCATCTTGACTTCTAGTAGCATATTGTTGTTTTGCCTGTCTTTGCACTTTATATGAATGGAATGATACAACCTGTTCTCTTCTGCATTTGGCTTCTTTTTCTTTTCCTTGTTTGAGAGATTGAACCTATGGTTGAATGTAGTTGAAGGTTGTTTATTTTTGTTGCCATGTAATAATTCGTTATGTGGATGTGCCATAATTTATCTATAACAATGTGAAAGACATCTACACTGCTTCCAGTTTATATTGTGATGAATAGTGCTGTGATATACCTTCTCATATATAACATATATAAGCATTTATGTTGGGTGCATACCTAGGAATGGAATTATTAGGTCATAGAATATCATTGTATTTAGCTTGAATAGATATTACCAAGTGGCTTAAGAGTTGAAGTAGTTAAAACGATTTGCATCTCCACCAGTAGTGTGAGAGTTGATGAATTTTATTGCTGAGATGTCTTTTGGGAGATGTGTGAGAGGTGCAGGCTATTCTTAGGTTCATTTCAGTACATTTGTTTTCTGGAAAGGAATGGTCATAGTTGCCTTGTTGATTCTTTGAAAGCTAAGTTAAAAATTTGTCTCTGTGTACACACACTCTCCTTTTTCTTTGTCTTTGTATACATGAATATGTATGTGTTTTATGTTGATGTCTTCTACATACATAGATGTGTGTATTTTATTTTACAAATATGTGACTGTGCTATTAGACTGGACAGGCCACTTAGAAGTTTTCTCACTTAGGCTCCTACAAGTCTCTGAATTCACACTGATCCTGCTTAAGTGTCTCTAATGAGGGGAAGTGCATTCTTTTAGGATGACCCCTCCCTTTGTTAAGTAGCATGTTGTTGCTTCTTCGACACTGTGGTGCTGTCTGCCTCTTTCTAACTTCTCCCATGAATATCATGCCCTTTCTTAGGTAAGCAAAAAACCCATGATTCACATAATACAGTGAAGTTTCTTCAGGCAGAGGTTCATGGCTATTTTTTAAATGGCCACTTTTCAACATTTGCAGGGTCAAGGTCTCTGAGCAGTTTGCTCTGGGGAACTTGGATGAAAAACCGTAAGGTGATGGGAAAAAAAAAAACCCTCAGTGCAAAGTCTCCTCTATTTTTCTTCCTATTTTTAAGGTTGTTGTTTCTTTTTCTCCCATTTCCCAGTTTTTCATTCATGAGCAAACTGATGCCCCCTCATTGGGTTTAAAAATTGTTTAAGATGGAAATACAAAAAATGCATATTATGTATTTAAAAATTAGACTAAAATGAATAAAATGAAAAATTAGCACTGCTTTCTATAGAACACTGAAAATTGCGTTAATGAATGTCAATGAGTATAGAAAATCAATGCATTACACTTTTGTCAAATCAATGAATATGGAAGAATTCTTCTGATGGAGATCATATGAGTGCTAAGAGAGTTGAACTTCCAGGTGATATTAATATTCATAGAACTTTAGAATAAAAATGAGTTTTTAATTATTTAAGGTTCACAGATATTACCTAATAGATATTTTCTTTCTTTACAGGCAAGAAGAGACTGATAGGAGAGTAAAAAATGTAAGATACATTTACCTTAATGGAGCATTATAAGTGGCTTTCACTTCCATGTTCTATAAGAAGGCAGTGAATCTGAAAGTATACTCTATATACCTTTTCCAATTAAATTTTTACTACAAACCAGTCAGTTACAAACAGTAAATATCTTTAAATGTATGCCTTACAACAAATGGTTAGATTGTTCCACTCCCACTGATAAGGGAAAACATGTGGTATTTGGTTTTCTGTTCCTGCATTAGTTTGCTGAGGATAATGGCTTCCAGCTCTGACCATGTCCCTGCAAAGGACATAATCTTTTTTTTTTTTTTTTTTTTTTTTTTTTTTTTTTTTTTATGACTGCATAGTGTTCCAGAGTTGAACAATGAGAACACGTGGACACAGGGAGGGGAACAACACACATTGGGGCTTGTTGGGTGATGGGAGAGCAAAAGCCTCAGGATAAATAGCTAATGCATTTGGGGCTTAATACATAGGTGTTGGGTTTGATAGCAAACCACCACGGCACACATTTACCTATGTAGCACACCTGCACATTCTGCACATGTATCCCGGAACTTAAATTTAAAAACATTTGGGTTGAATGGTATAAGAAGATAGGTTAGATTTAGAAAGCTGTTATGTGTTAGTAGTACAGTAAAGGCAAGTAAACACATTTTCAGATTTTTATGGGAGTAAATAGGAAACGACCAATTCAGACTTTAAGGAAGAACACTAAATGTTTAAGGACTCTGGGTAATTGTTCAATGTAGACTCATACATCTTACAATATTTTATGCAAATTGAAAGAATATCTAAAAATGTTGCAGCTTTATTTTTAAAAAGTTTAATATCCTTATTAAGGAAGCTGAGAATTATTGATGTTTAGGTGATCATTCTGTAAATTCGATGAAAAAATACTGATTGCTTTAGAAGTTACATTTGTGTTTTCTCTTATTTTTTCCCTTTTCATATATACTAGTAGAGTATATGAATGAATACCTTTTGGAGTCTGGACTTTTGGTCTAAGAACTTGCTCAGAGACAGGAGAATTTAGGAAGAAAAATTAAGATTTTTAATGACTTTCCCATAAACTTAAAAGAAGGTCTCCTTTTCAACAATAGAGTCATGTGCGCTATCATTTATCTACAGTACTCACCTACATTTGAGCTTGCAATTGGTTGCTAATAGACTGATTGTTCATGGATTTTTTTTTAAAGGTTTTGATAACATTGTACTGGCTGGGAAGAAAAGCACAAAGCAACCCCTACTATAATGGTCCCCATCTGAATTTGAAAGCATTTGAGAATCTCTTAGGACAAGCCTTGACGAAGGTGAGTAAACCACATCCGTGTGAGATTACTACTGTGATACAGTACCACTACGTTCCCTTCCTCCTCTCTTCTCCTTTTTCTTCTCCTTCTCCTCTACAACAACGTATGGCAACTCTGACTGTCTTTGTCCCACTCTTGATTGGGCTGAGTAAAGAAATTGTTACTCATTTACTGGCTTTATATGTCACCACCAAGGAGTGAGTTGAGTCTATTCCAGAGCAATTTCCAAGGTTTAGAGACTTACTTTTTAATTCTACATAATTTGGTGACACATGCATTGGCTTCCTTCCCTACACACTTTATATAGCTTAAGTATTTCTATACTCGTTGTAAACTCAACCTGTAGTAGACAGGTGCTTCCTGGACTGTTAACGTGCATGGAATATACTCAATTTCTTTGCAATAATGTGTTGTTGTTATAGGTGATGGTCTTTAATGCCCACACTTAAATATCCCCACAATTCTACCACGCTGCCTCTGTTTCCAAAGAGTAGTACATGGTGTGAACTGGAACTTCATACAAGGTTTTGAAGTTAGAATCCTTTGTTTTATACACATTTCTGGTCATGCATATTCTGGAATCAATGTGACAGCCTTTTGAATTCTTGAGGACCATTTGAAGAGAGCCAAGTGCTAGGACTGACCATAGTTCTGCCAAGTCTTCATTTATAAGATCTATACGGGAATACAAATCCGTGGGTAGGGGTATTTATTCAGGGAAATTTGTAGGACTCAGAAGAGCCCTTTTGTATAGTTGCAATAGCGTTTCATCATCTAATTAGTAGTCATTGTTTCATGGGTTTCTCTAATGGTTAAATGATACCGCATAAGTAAGGCATTTAGCGTTAGTCTCTAGCACATTGTAAGGTTGCAATAAATGTTGGTTGCAGTGATTGGAAGATAGAAATTTTAGACCAGGATGAACATGATCACCTTGCCTTACATCTACCTTGATCTTTTTTCTTTGTTTTTTGAGATGGAGTCTCGCTCCCTTCACGCAGGCTGGAGTGCAGTGGTGCCATCTAGGCTCACTGCAACCTCCACTTCCTGGGTTCAAACGATTCTCCTTCCTCAGCCTCCAGAGTAGCTGGGACTACAGGTGTGCACCACCACACCTGGGTAATTTCTGTATTTTTAGTCTAGACAGGGTTTTGCCATGTTGGCCAGGCTGGTCTCGAACTCCTGACCTCAGGTGATCCCCCTGCCTCGGCCTCCCGAAGTGCTAGGATTACAGGCGTGCATGAGCCACCATGCCCAGCCACATCTACCCTGATCTTTAAATAATTTTGCCTGAGCCCAGCCACAATACAGCAATTCCTGTTCACCCCCCAAATGTAAGAAGTCAATAACACTCTATTCAAATTCCTTGAATAAGTTAATTCAAGAAACAGCTGCGATATTAACATGCATACACATTGTAGTAAGTGTTGAGAAAACACTCATAAGAGATTACCTAGCCTCACAAAGCACAATTGTCTGAGATAGATGAGCACATTGGTCACTGCAATGAAGAATGGTGAGGCTCTAATGGAGGAATTTCAGGGGGCTTTGAACATAGGGAGAGCCTTGCCTTATAGTTATGTCAGCTAAGAAAACTTTTGGTTAAAAACTGTGTGGGACTTTGACTTATGTACTAGTGCTCTCTTTATCACTTTTGGTCCTTCTAATGACAGTCTGACTCAGATTGAATAATCCTAATACAGTGTCTATGCCAGGAATGCTTTGTCAAAGGCTGTTTCCTGCTACCAGTTTCAAAATCAGAGGGAGTAGATGAAGACTTTATGGTAGATAAAACTATCGTTGTGGTTCTATTATTCTATGATAATAAAGTGATAATAACTGTAGAGGCATGTGACCATATCACTAGTTTTGTATCAGTTCTATTGAAATCAAAACCAATGTGTTCATCAGGCTTTTCCCATTTAACCAGATAATGCCTAAAAGCAAACATAACATACCAATTAAAAATCACTGGTGTAAGTTGTAACAGCTCAGTCATCTTATAAGTTGGAGGTGACTCATTTTAGGTGACTCGTCAGGGTGCCTCCTTAAAAGCCAGGCACCAGGGTCAGACAGGTTATTTTAAAACTGAAGTGACTGCCATCAATAACTTTAACATTTATGAGGTGAAAAATCCATCTTGTGTGTTGAATTCTAAGGCCTTAGCAAGTACATGTCTAAGAAACCTGATGGATCTAAACACTTAAATTAAAAAAAAAAAAAAAAACTTTCTGTATTTGAGAAAAATTTTGGCAGCACAAGCACTAGGCCTGGCTTCTGCATCCGCTTGGAAGTGGCAGGATGTAAGGTAGGCACTTGCATTTTCATGACAGGATGCCAACTCTGATTCCAAGGTTTCTGGCATCTAAACCACATGAAACCTCCCTGAAAGCTACTAGACCTTATTGGTGCTCCAAACACGCGTCAAACAATTAAATCATGAATTGACAGTATTACGTCAAAAGTATGCCTGAGACAGCTGCTAATTAATTATTCACTGCAAACACTCTTCAGCTTTTTTCTATGTTGAAAATATTTATAATTGAAAGAAGAGTACAACAAATACCCAGATACACAACCTCAGGTTCAATTATTATAATTTTCCATTCTGGCTTTATCTACATAGGTGTTTATCCATCTATGTTTTTACTTAACCATTTTAATATAAATTACAGATGTATTTCTCCCCCAAATACTCAGTATACATCTCCTAAGAATATAAATATTCTTCTATATAGCTACAGCATTGATTATACTTAAGAAAACTCAGATATTCTCCATTATCTAATATTCAGTTGATAATAAAACTTTCTTAATTGTCTCCAGCTATTTTTCATAGCACTTTTTAATCTGAATCATGACTTAAGGGTCACATAATAGTTTGATTGTTAGTAATTACTAGGTTCTTTAAACTGTCTCTTTATTACTAAGCTCGTCTGAAAGCAACATTTCTGATTTTTACTGTGACAAAATTATCTTCACCATATTAAAAAATTGTTACTAGTCAGTCATTGATAAGTATAAGTCAGGACTGTGCCATGGGCTTTGTAAATTTTACTCACATCCTATTGTTTAAAAAGCCAGGTTATATTTTGTCACTAGCATTCATAGAAGAATATTAATTAAATGTGCTTATCTTGAGTAAGTTCTGTGTAATTCACAAACCTACAGTTAACATCATTTGCGATGTTTCTGTGTATCCTTTATTTGAGCCAAGCAAATATTTTATTTAGGTCCAGAGAGAATAAGTTTTATATGTCGCAAACAAGTATATGCTTCTCTTGATTCAACAAGAAGGATAACTCAGCGGCCAGGACCTTAGAACTAGGTTGTGTAACTAGTGAAAGTAATTGAATTCTGTGAAATGTATGCCCACTTGCTCCTTTTTATTTTTTTGGGGAAGGAAGTTAAATAACTTCAGTTGTTGAAGTTTTATGTTATATAAGCCATCCCAAATGTTTCCTGGAGATAGACTGAATATAATCTTGTTGATTAATCTCCTTTTGGTTGGCTAAGTTAAGGTTAATTTTTCTCTTTGACTCTTTTCATATTTATTGCTAGAGAACTGTGATAATTGATTTTAACACTTCAATGTTATCCTGAACTTCCATTAAATGAGTCCCCTTCCTTATTTTTAAATAGAACATAGGTACTAGTTTATTAAATAATATTGGATATCTCCTTATTGTTGCTTTGAATATTGAATACCTCCTTATTGTATCAGTTGTGGGGAAACGATTATAGATTTATTTTCTGTTTTTCATCAGCTTTTTTCTATGTCTGACAAAGAAACCTCATTGCTTCACATGTCAAATGAAGCCCAACTTAAATTAGGCAAACAAGCAAGTAATAACCAATTATATTTTTTGGAAGTTTATTTAACTTACTGTTCTTTAAAACATGTTTTCTTTAGGCACTTGAAGACTCCAGTTTCCTGAAAAGAAGTGGCAGGGACAGTGGCTACGGTGACATCTGGTATTCTGAACGTGGAGAATTTGTTGCTCCTTCAAGGCACCATAAGAGAGAAGATTCCTTTGAAAGCTTGGACTCTTTGGGTTCTAGGTCATTGACAAGCTGCTCCTCTGATATCACGTTGAGAGGGGGACGTGAAGGTGTGCTGTGCTTTTGGCTGTCAGTCTATTTGTTTACGTATCAAGGGAGAACTGGGAACAGGACAGAGTAGAAAAATGGAGTGAAAACTAGGCAAAAATTTCATTTAGAAGTGGATTTTCATAGAGACGCAAGTATAATTGGGGGTTTTGTTATTTTTTCCTCCTTCATGGTAGTGATAGTTTCATTTTTGAAAAATTTCACTTCTGGAAAGTACTGTGGCCTGTTTCATCAGTGGTAATCTATCCTGGCTCCTCTCTCCAGATTCAGGCTTAATAATCTGTGTTCATGCGTTCTATAAGCTGATATATCAGAACATAAAAAGGAATATAAGATTCTGCAAAAAAAAAAAAGTCCTCTTCTAGTTACTAATTTTCATCCTTGGCTTTTTTCAAAAGATTAAAAAAATTCTCTTAAGCAAAAACAAGAAAAATATTTTTACAATTATTTCTATAGATGAGAAGAAATGATTGCTATCTATCATGACAGAATGTTATGTTAAACTTTGTAGATTGAGTAATGTACCACCACTAATGTGCTGGTAGAAATCCTCCTTTGGTCCTTTCAGGGTCAGAGCTAACCCAAGACAGAGCAAGTGTGAAAGGAACATGTTAGAGACATTCTGTTGTGGGAAGGAACCTTCTTTCAAAATCCCAAGCTTATGGTCAGTTCAGTTATTTCAGTGCACATCTTAATCCTGTGGCCGTTGGGTACAGTGTCAGCAATTTCTGACTGTACATCTCCAGCTATTCAGATTTGACTAGATTGAAATCACAAAGTTTTTTTTTGAAATATTTCTGTGCTTCTGCCAATTCCAATGTGAACACATTGAGTTCTGGCTGTGAGTTTGTGCTTGATTGCTAGGGATTTTACATTGCTCATGTATCTGGAATATTACTTTTATATTTCTAGATATTTTTCCTAGCATATCTATTATAAAAAATATCAAAAATCCACAAACTTAAAATAATTCTATAGTGAGCACACATGTATTCGCCGCCGAATTCTGCCATGATGTTTTATTATGCGTACTTTATCTTAAACCTGTCTCTCTCTCTTTCCCCCTGCCTCTTTCGTTCTCTATACAGTTTAATCATCTTGTTTTTTGAGGCATTTCAGAGTATATCACACTCGTCCTAAATACTTCAGTATGCACATCATTAACTGGACTTTATTCTTTGTTTTACTTCTGATGTAAAACTTACATAAATACGACATACTAGGAATTTGTTTTCCAAAAAAATCAATCAACAATTTATTAACCATGGTAACAAAAAACATGAATTCTTTATCTTTCAGACTAGTAGTAGTTTTTAAAAATGAAAAATAAAAAATGTGAAAGGCTATGTAAGCATTAATCTTTATATCACTGCCACATGTATTGGCTATTTGCTATCTAGGTGTGACATTTTCATAGCCCAGATGACGATTACAATACGTTTAAGGAAATGAATCTGAGTATGTGATTCATCTGAGTGGTTAGAGCTGTAAAAGCAGAGGCATACATTCTGAACCCGCTGTATTTCTTTGTCCTGACGAAGAACCTACTCCATGTAATGATTGACTTTATATCTAGCTAAGGAATAAAAGGAGAAAAGACAGAGGGCGTGCGGGAATATGCAGGCTTCAGTCAGTTCGGATGCAGTGGCCTGCCCAGTGGTTGGAGGCTAAGTCACCTTCTCAGATCCTTGTTGGAATGGGCACCTGTACATGTAACCAAGAGCAGAGGGCCACTGTCACATCCCTTCCTGATCTTGGAAAAGGGGCTGCAGACCCTGTTTAAAGAGTGCAGACGTGAAGTCTTGGAAATTACAACTAAGCAGGGAAAAAAATGGAGGCAGCAGGATGATAAAGCTCTTTTGTGATCGGCATGTTAAAATTCTGCTGCTACCCTCTAGATGGTAGTCCTAAATTGACGAACACTGTAAGTAGAATAATACTTTTGGGATAACAGAATTGCAATGTCACATTCTCTAGTTTTGTATGAAAACTCATATCAAAAATGATATTTTGGGAAAAAAATCCTCTCCAGGGTACCATACTGGACCCCCCCCCCCCAAAAAAAAAAGACTTTATCTTAAAAATTAAAAATAGGCTATTTGTGACTTAAAAATTCCACATGTATAGATTTTGGCAAGAGTCGTTGATATACTTATTGGAAATGAGATATAAATGTCTTACTTTTTAGAAGGTGTTAAAAAGAAAGCACCAGACTATTGACTACTACTCCTCATGGTCATAGCTGTGTTTACTTTCTCTCTTTTGCTAAGACTTTACTCTCCTTTTACTCTGTCCCTGCCTTAGAGCTGTATGTTAAGTGACTTCCTGTAGACGCTTCTCAGTGTGATTTACTGTAGCTTCCTGCCAGGCTGGAGGGAGAAGAGACTGCCTTTAACTCAGGCTAACCCTGCAGGTGCTCTACCTGCTGAGAGCTTATAGCTGCCAGGCTCTGTGCACAGCCAGTCCGGGAGAGAACCCTGGTGTGAAGTAACACATTCAAACCTTGACAAATGCACAGGAGGCAGGAAGAGAAGAAGGGCAAGAAGGAGAGAAAACTTGGCTTGGATCTGTAGTGTTGTTCTCTCCTCTTTTCTTCCTTTGTCTTTAAAAGCGTATATTTCTTCTTCTTTTAAGAAAGCAGATTACTATTTGTATCTCTCTGAGCTTGAGGGGTATCAAAGAGTATTCTTTTGAATTTTTGTTTAAATGATGTTGAATCATAGTACAAGGTTCCCAGTGTTATTTCCATGGCCACTTAGAAGAAACTGTGAGTTCTGTGCCCTCATTTGGGCGTAAGAGTTGAGATTCCTTTGGAACTTAAGAAGTCGTCCAGTTCAACCTCATAGTTAATGTGTGATTCCAGTTCATATGATCTATCCAGACCCTTTGCAAGCCTGGTTTTTTTTGTTGTTGTTGTTCCTTCTCTTTCTTTCTACATCTTTCCTGATCTCTCCGCTCATATAAATTATAGATAGCTGCATGCCTTATTTTAAATTACTGAGTTCCCCTAGAATTATTTTTGCATGTTGTTTTAAGTATCTGTGACTCCATTGCTAGATTTTACTTCTATGTATTACATCAACAAATCTTATGGAAAATCATGGAGGCAGAGACTGAAGAAAAGGGGCTCACTAGTAAAATAGGACTTTTTCTGCTTTGAGCCTACAACAGCTAAAGAATGTACTGCATGTGCCTCCAGTATGCAAAGCAAGTTCCTCCTAATGGATCTTATCACAACTTCGTGACAAATTTCTAAAAATAATCCCTGCAGTTAGCAGTGGCAGCACTGGGTTTCTAAGGCAAAGACAAAGCAGGCGCGCTGTGTGGGTTTCAGTTAGGCGAATAATCTGGAGAGTAAAGCTAATTCTTGTGCCTCCTTTATAGGTTTTGAAAGTGACACAGATTCTGAATTTACATTCAAGATGCAGGATTATAATAAAGATGATATGTCGTATCGAAGGATTTCGGCTGTTGAGCCAAAGACGGCGTTACCCTTCAATCGCTTTTTACCCAACAAAAGTAGACAGCCATCCTATGTACCAGCACCTCTGAGGAAGAAGAAGCCGGACAAACATGAGGATAACAGGAGAAGCTGGGCAAGCCCAGTTTATACAGAAGCAGATGGAACGTTTTCAAGGTACTGAGATGGGATGTGATTTCTGAGTGTCATATGCTTTTTCAATGTGGTGGGATGTTAAATGTGGTAAAAAAGAATGGTTCTTAAATGTGTTTCCTAGATAATACATTAAGCTTGACTAGTGAGAATATTTTTCATCCCTCTATTTTTAGTTATACATATCTCGAAGCTATTTCTTCGGTTTTAGAATGTCAGCATATGATTTGCTGGGTCTTTTTTTAGCTGCATGACTTCAGTTTATTGGTATTTTTCAGCTTACCAGATAATTTATGTTGTTTATGATGAACCCTGCTATGTCATGTTTTTCCTTTTTTGATTGATATTAGTGGACATGAAAAGAATCCTTTAATTTCTCAGCAAATTAGCAGAACAGAGTGTGGTTTTGCAAATCCAGCTTCCTATCACAGGGAGGCGTGCGGTTTTGAAAGTGGTTCGGACTCTGAGGATGAACGAAGGTTTCCTGACGTAGTTTTGGATGACTTAGCCAACCGTAGATTCCAAGTGAAAAAGAGGCCCCAGAGTTTCATCTCGAAAATCACCTCTCCTAACTCTTGTCCGCAAATATTTTCTCCTGCTGATGTGTTCGCCAGTGGGCTATATGGACTGACGAGGTCAGAAACACTTGTCCTGGATCTGGCTGTCTATCATGCTTCTGATTTTAATTCAGAAAGTAACACCCCAAATCATTTGTAATGTACCTCTTTCTTTTAACACAGCTTCTAATGCAGTATCTTTGGCCCATGTATGTCTAGCTATCCTTGAATTCAAATGAGATGCTGTTATCATAACTTTGTCCTAGGAACTGTGGTGGTGACAGGAATGGAAACTAATTTGCTTTGTTCACGGTGGTGTGAACTTTGTGAGCGAGAAAGCATGCCGTTTGTGTTCTGTGTCACAAATGCTCATGCAGTCTCTTAACCGGTTGGATGTTTTGAACAGTAATCAGAGGAGGACTTGGGGCACCAGTGTGGAGAACTGGCCAACTGTACAAGGAACTTCAAAGTCCTCTTGTTATTTGGAAGAGGAAAAAGCAAAGACAAGGAGCATACCCAACATCATAAAGGATGATCTTTATGTGCGCAAGCTAAGTCCAATCATGCCAAACCCAGGGAATGCTTTTGATCAGTTTCTTCCCAAATGTTGGACCCCAGAAGATGTGAACTGGAAAAGAATAAAAAGGGAAACTTATAAGCCATGGTATAAGGAATTTCAGGGATTCAGGTTTGTTGTTGTGCATGTTTCTGTTACACCAGTGTTCACTGAATACCCCAGCTGGGGTTCTATGTGCATGTTTTTTTTTTTTTTTTTTTTTTTTTTTTTAAATAAAAATAAGAGAGACGAGAAAGTCTAATTAGTCCTCTAGCATCTACAGAACCTATATAATGGAAAGGAATTTCTGTTTAAATTTAAACCTGAGGATCTGGATCTGAAAAAGTCCTGTTCTATACATAGCCATCGCATGGCATTATTTTTAGTAGTTCTGCTTTTCTCCAATTCCTTGTCTCATTCCCTCCTCCCTTCTTTTCTCCATGTCACTCACAGTAAAAGGAATTCAGACTCTGAGGATGAGGACTCAGATTCTGACAGAAGCGCCACCATTTTTAGTAGAGCACGAAAAGCGGAGCGTAGGCTAGACGGCAACTGCCAAAGACCTTCCCTCTTGCTGGAATTAGCTACCAAACGGGCTGTAAAACCGCCGGACTCCCATGCAGCCAGGAGAAGCAGTAGTGCTTCGGATGAGCCCAGGTGCCCCTGTCTGTATGAGCCTGCCTGCTGGGGGTCTGGCCTCAGACACCCCTCTGCCCGCTTCTGCTGCTCCATTAACCTGGGACCTGATTGCACTGAATCAGGAAACCTGACTCACTTAGTGGACTTAATACAAAAGCATAATGTATAACACGCTGCTTTCTGTGCCACTACGTCAGCTTGGAAGTCTGTAGGATATATTTACATGTGGCAGTTCTTTTGAGAAGCCAGTTCAAAAAGTCTTGTTAGAAAGTTTACCTAATTTTACAGTTGTGCTGTGTGTGGAGATGTGGAGAAAGGAAATAACTTTTAGGTAAAGACTGAGAAGGGCAAGTCTAGGGAAAATACAAAGGGAAGATTCCTTGAGCTCTTTTATAAAACTTCAGAGCAGTATATTTTCCCTTTTTCCTGCTGATTGTATGTACCTATTGCATAAAGTGCATGATGCCCAACTCATGAGCTTTTAAAGATTATTCCTCTTGTTCAGAGGGAACTTAGGCCACTGTGTTGGCAAATGGAATGAGAAAGGGGTACCAGGGGCTGGGCACAGTGGCTCATGCCTGTAATCCCTGCACTATTGGAGGCCAGGACAGGTGGATCGCTTGAGATGAGGAGTTTGAGACCAGCTTGGCTAAAATGGTGAATTATCATCTCTACTAAAAATAGAAAAATTAGCCAGCCATTGTAGGGAGCACCTGTAATTCCAGCTACTCGGAAGGCTGAGGGAGATCAATCACTTGAACCCAGGAGGCAGAGATTGCAGTGAGCTGAGATTGTGCAACTGCACTCCAGCCTGGGTGACAGAGTGAGACTCCATCTCAAAAAAAAGGGGGTACCAGGGAGTGGCTCTCCTGGCTTAGTCCACTCTCCAGCCCCATCAGTGGCCTCTATGGTGCCCAGCTTTCCTGAGAAGGATAATCTGCTCCTATTTCTTTAGAGAGTATCCAGAAAAATCCTGGGTGTTGGATTAAATGCTAGTCTGTCTTCTTAGCAAGAGTGCCCCCAGTGATCCTCTAAAATAATTTATTCTTAGCAACTGGCTAGCTGGTCTGCTAATTACCTTTGGCTAGTGGATCTGCTAATTACCTTTTCTTCCCAAACTTAATAAGATTCTCTTTCCTTTTTCCTTTCTGTGCATCAGTCAGTTTTTACTGCTTCAGGCCCTCCAAACATACTCTGATGACATCTTGTCTTCCGAAACACATACCAAAATTGATCCCACTTCTGGCCCAAGGCTCATAACCCGCAGGAAGAATCTCTCTTATGAACCAGGCTATAGAAGAGATGACTTCGAGATGGCAGCCCTGGTTCCTGACTTAGAGAATGATGATTTCTTTGTCAGAAAGACTGGGGCTTTCCATGCAAATCCATATGTTCTCCGAGCTTTTGAAGACTTTAGAAGGTTCTCTGAGCAAGATGATTCTGTAGAACGAGATATAATTTTACAGTGTAGAGAAGGTGAACTTGTTCTTCCGGATTTGGAAAAAGACGATATGATTGTTCGCCGAATTCCAGCACAGAAGAAAGAAGTGCCGCTGTCCGGGGCCCCAGATAGATACCACCCAGTCCCTTTCCCTGAACCCTGGACTCTTCCTCCAGAAATGCAAGCAAAATTTCTCTGTGTACTTGAAAGGACGTGCCCATCCAAAGAAAAAAGTAATAGTTGTAGAATATTAGTTCCCTCCTATCGGCGGAAGAAAGATGACATGCTGACGCGTAAGATTCAGTCGTGGAAACTGGGAACTACGGTGTCTCCCATCAGTTTCACCCCTGGCCCCTGCAGTGAGGCTGACATGCAGAGATGGGAGGCCATCCGGGAGGCCAGCAGACTTAGGCACAAGAAAAGGCTGATGGTGGAGAGGTCAGAGTGTGTTTCTGCAAGGATTTTGCTTGTAATGGATGGTCTTGTGTGACTTTTCTCATGCGAGAAAGCAGCTCATCGTGTTGCTCAACTCTGCATGTCACGTGCCATTTTGAAACATCCCATAAAGTTTAATTTGCTTTAAAAAAAACCCTCAGTCGTTTTGTAGAATAAGTGCAATTCCATATTTGCATATCTCTAAATCACTTACTTAGGCCTGTTTAAGACTATATATACATAAAGGTTGCCTTTCACTTAAGCAGTACTGTGGTACTATTCAGCAATATGAAATTTCATAAAATATTTTCCAACTTACATTTACAGACTTCTCATGTTCAGGCATTTCTGTAACAGTCTGGTTATAGTTTGGTTTGATGTGTTACTCACATTTTGGAATGTCTGATTTTTGGTGGGGAAGAGTAAAATTTTCCCTTAAAATATGGCATTGCAAATTTCATCTAACTTAATTTTTGTTTTTGGCCTAGGTTTCTTGGACTATCAATTTGTAGCTTATTTTTATTTATAAAGTTCAATGCAAACTTTGACGTTAAAATGCATGGATGGTATTTGTTGTCTGCTGAATTTTGTATGTATGTAATCATGGCCATTTTGATAGTTTATATTATGCAACTTGCCTTTTTATGAATGTTCAGTTTGTTGAACCTAGGAAAGGACAAATCTAATTAGGTTGAATAAAATTAGAGGATCCAAAGCTAATTTACCCGTCCTTTTCTTATGGATGCATTAGCCGACAGTCAATTGAGGAAATTCTTCATTTTGCTTAATCTGAATTTCTTAAGATAGGAAATTGATGAGAACTTGAGACATGATCAAGAATGTGATGGAAGAAGTGACCTTTTGAGATTTGTCCATCTCCAATTAGATTGTTAAGTGAAAGACATTAAACGTTTACAAACTAATACAACTGGGAAAAATGACTTTTTAATTTTTGGTTTTCTGGTTTCTTAGACTCTTTCAAAAGATTTATGGTGAGAATGGGTAAGTTATATGGTTCACAGTAAAATATCTATGCATATTGTTTGTTCTTTGTTTAACTTACCGTATTTCTGGCATGGCGTGTCACTAAATGGGGATGCTGTGTGCTGTGCATGAAATTTTTAAAAGGGGAACTCTTTATTTTGCAACCTAATGGTAGTATTTCTGTGTCTCAGTGCCCAGTGCATGACAAAATAGTTTGTTTTGTTAGAAATTTAAAATTCAGGTCCATCCCTTTGTTTTTTTTCCTTTTTAAAAATTTAATGAGTTGATTAAAAGTAACAGAAACACTTGCCTAAGACTAGGTATATGTATTTTGGTATTTGATTGCTGCATAGACTAAAATTCTGATTTGCGGATGCTAAAGCCCAAATGACTACATTTTAGAAAATCTGCGATAGGCAAAGAATATGAGCATTTACTTCAAGTTTAGAATATACGCAGTTGACATTATCTGTATAATCGGCCCCCTGGGAACTTTGTTAGTAGGGAAGCATTAATCTTCCCTCAGTGGTATTTGGAAGTATTATATTTTCAAGAGTCCTAATTAGGAAAAAAAAGTTATAACATAGCTATGTTTATAGTACAAAATTGGCCTTCAAAAACTGCAAAAGTCTTCGTAATTTCTAGTATCATTGTTGCAAAAATTACTTTTGTTGTTGTTGTTTTTGAGATGAAGTCTCACTCTGTTGCCCAGACTGGAGTGCAGTGGCACAATCTTGACTCTCTGCAACCTCCAACTCGCAAGTTCAAGCAATTCTCCTGTCTCAGCCTCCCGAGTAGCTGGGACTATAGTTGCATGCCATCATGCTTGGCTAGGTTTTGTATCTTTAGTAGAGACGGGGTTTTACCAGATTGGTCAGCCTGGTCTTGAACTGCTGATCTCAGGTGATTCACCTGCTGGGGCCTCCAAAAGTGCTGGGATTATAGGCAAAACTACATTTATTAGATAAATCATTTATTCATTCTTTTTTTTTTTTTTTTTTTTTATTGAGATGGAGTTTTGCTCTTGTTACCCAGGCTGGAGTGCAATGGCACGATCTCGGCTCACCACAACCTCCGCCTCCTGGGTTCATGCAGTTCTCCTGCCTCAGCCTCCTGAGTAGCTGGGATTACAGCCACGCGCCACCATGCCCAGCTAATTTTTTGTATTTTTAGTAGAGATGGGATTTCACCATGTTGACCAGGATGGTCTCGATCTCTTGACCTCGTGATCCACCCGCCTCAGCCTCCCAGAGTGCTGGGATTACAGGCTTGAGCCACACCCAGCCATTTATTCATTCTTAGTACAAAACCACAAGGTGGCTGTATCGTAATATTTTCCACCAAACTTTGTAACTTTGTGAATCTAAGGGCGAACAGTATTTGAGCAAGAGGAAGAGAGTTAAAGGAAGACAAATATTTTAATCTGCTCAAGCCTCAATAGCTAAGTATCTCCCCTTACAAGGATTTACTTCAAATATAAGGATCTCTAGTTTTGATAGCTTTTTATAATTTTGATAATTCAGAAATCTTGGAAGCTACTAAACGTGAAGCAGTATAACCATTCTAGATGCCAAAGGTGTAACTGAGCCATAGGCAACAAATTGTAAGTACTTGTTAGACACTTATTTCTTTCTTTCTTTTTTTCTTTGAGACAGAGTCTCACTCTGTGCTCAGGCTGGAGTGCAGTGGCGCAGTCTTGGCTCACTGCAACCTCCATCTTTTGGGTTCGAGCAATTCTCCTGCCTCAGCCTCCCAAGTGGCTGCAATTACAGGCATGTACCACCATACCTGGCTAATTTTTGTATTTTTAGTAGAGACACGGTTTCACCATGTTGGTTAGGCTGGTCTCAAACTCCTGACCTCAAATAATTCATGCACCTCGGGCTCCTAAAGTGCGGAGATTATAGGCGTGAGCCACCATGCCCGGCCTAGCCACTGATTTTAAAAACCAGGGTCCCTGCATGCTTTCCTTGTGCCATGCTAAGGCACATTATCCCCTATCCAGCTTATCTGCATGACGCTGAAGCATTTGCTACTCTCAAGTCATAGGAAAGCTGTTTTAACTTGATTAAAATCTCTTTGCAGCTTTAAGCATGTTGAATTGTAACTTTCAGAAGAATTTTCATTTGTAAATTAAATATAACTTTATAATGTAAGCAACTCTCATAAACAGTTGCTTTTCCTAAAGGGAATACACATACCCAGAGTACAAGTATGTGATGGGAGTGTCGAAATGTACAACCATTTCAATGGCTGGTTGTGTTCCCCTTAGTGAGGGTAAGTTATATAACTGAGTTAGAGAAGAAAAGAGAAACCTAAAACCAAAGCTTGAAAAGCTAAAGATTTTTCTGGATTAGAGCTGCAAACGTTTTCTAACCCAGGATAGTTGTTTGGTTAGTACAATATTTGTTTTAAAGGCTGTTCTGCATGCAGTTTAATGCCAAGGTAACTACACAAATAAAGCAAGATTATCTGTAAATGGAGACTGAATAATGCATGACATGTCAAACAATGGAAAGCATTATAATATGAATGTGTCTTCAGAAAACTCAAGTGTGTTTTGGACCACTTGAAGTCGAATAAGTCAAATCTATAACAAAGGATTTTTCTCTGCAGTCTATCAGTTACCAGTGTTTTTGTTTGTTTGTTTGTTTGTTTTTAAAGAGATAAGAGTCTTGCCATGTTGCCCAGGCTGGTCTTGGGCTCCTGGGCCCAAGCATTCTTCCTGCCTTGGCCTCCCAAAGTGTTAGGAGCACACATGTGGGCCATCATGCCTGGTCTTCCGGTGCTTTTCTTAAGTCGAACTGCTGCAGTAAAAATAGAAATTTAAATTGGATTAAGTGTAGGCTTTTAATCTAGAACTTGTTTCATGTTTATACTGGGTGATATTTCCCTGAACATAATGTACGTTGTCAAGCCTGGCATAGTTACCTGGAAAAGAATTGTCGCTCAACATGCTGTCATTGAAAAATAACTGCCTGTAACATGAATGCTTTCTTTCTTGTAGGGGCTGGGTTAAAGAGAAATGTGCAATATCTTTTGAAGTCTGTGACTGTTAATTTCTGGCTTGCTTTTTGTTTAACATTTAACACCTGTCAGTTTGTCTGTTTATGTTTAGTAAGATGCTTTGTATATGGTTGTTATTTCTTGTATGTGCTTTTGTCTTGCATGGTTTTATGTCTGTGTGGTTTCATGAAACTTGAAAATCTGGGCATGTGTTTTGTCAGAGAAATTAATGACAAAATTTTTGTAAGGATATGTAGAAATAATCTTGTATGTGATGAAGCTGTTGAATCTGCTGCCAGTATTAATAGGAAATGAACACTGATTCCATTTTTTCACTTAAGAGTTTAGCCAAAAGAGTCTGTAGAATTATAAAGCCATATGACAGCAAAAAAGAAGAGGAAAAAAAAGCCACTGTGAGTTATTTCTAAGGATTTCCCTCCATCCCCCCAGAGACATTTGGCAGTGCCTGGAGACATTTTTGATTGTCTCGCTGGGTGGGTGGGGGTGTGTGCACTACTGGCAACCAGGGCCTTCGTAGCCAGTGATGCTGCTGAATGCCCTGCAGTACACAGGAGTGCCCTACAACAAAGAGTTTTCTGGCACCAAAATGTCAACAGTGGTGCTGTTGAGAAACCCTCATTGAGACTCTAAATGAAAATATCTTCATCACATTGCCTTTTTATTCTAGTGCATGGTAATTCCAAAGCCTCTTGTCCAAGTTTTAGCAATGATTGCTTTTCAGAGAATTCCTATAATAACCTGAGGGAAATATACTTAGAGGTACATAAGGCAGCATATTCCTGTCTCCCTCTGAAAGTTGAGGATCCCTAACCTTAGTATCTTGAAATTTCTGTTTGCTATATGAGGTATCCATGATTTTATATTTGAGAAAATATGCTGCATGCTGGTCCTTTTTGATCCCTTACTCCTCTGTTACTCCTGTTACTCCTGGAATAAGTAGAGGAGCATAGTAGGCAGTCCGCATAGTGGAAGAAGAGAGTAAGACTTTAGCAACCTTATTTTATGATTGACACCTTCTACGTTAAACTTCCCCTTTTTCCTCGGTTTCTTCCCAAATGCTATTTTAAAAAAATTCTGTTCAACAGAAGGGCAAGATGCTAGATGTGTATTTTTTGGAAAAAATTCAGTTGCAATTCTAAATTGGAGCCCTTCCAAATAAGGAAATACAAATGAAGCAGGACTTGTCAGAGACATGTGGTTTGGCATCTAATCACCCTTCATTCAACAAAACATACTAGAGTTGTGCAGTCCTTCATAGTTTTCCCAAACAATTTTTCTGATGCTATCTCTGGTGCTTATCTCAAATCTGTGAGGCTGACAGATAGGGATGTGGAGATAGAGAAACAAATATTGCAGCTTTCCCAAGGACACGTGACTTGTGAGTGGTAGAACCGGACTAGGGCTTTGCCTCTGAGATAATTCATGTAGACTGCTTGGCGAGGTTGCTGGCACAGAGTAAGCCCTCAGAAGCTGAATATTATGCCATTAATGCTGATAAGGGAGGAAATAATTCTTTGTGATCTGGCTGAGAGACTCCTTCCTCTGCTCCAAAAGTTCTAGATTGTATCATTGTGGTCTGCAGGGACCTCTCTGATTTGAAGCAGCTTGGAAAGTTTGCTTGTGGGAGATCCCATGTAATCATGTTTTCTTTAAAGAAAGTTCATATATGGCCCAGATGGTTTAAAACATGCAACCCACACAGCCATATCCAGTTCTCATAATCCCTTCCTCACTTAGCAGGTGAGAAACTGGGGCTCGGAAATGAACTGATGTGTGTTAGGTTGGGGTGAAAATGGGCACCATGGCTGGGCCTGCAGCCCTCCGCCTCTTGGCTTGTTGTGGTGCCTGGCTCCAGCTGCTATCCAATGTGTGCAGCCTCGACGTGGGTAACTATATGTACCCTAGGGAGTGAACTGTGCTCACATTCTGCCTTACACAGAGACTTGTCTACTTCAGAGTGTATTTGGTTCACTTTTTTCACATTGAGGACTGCCTGTGTGCCAGGCTCTGCTTCGTGTTGGGGGTACCCAGGAGGAGGATGCAGCCTTTGCCATTGAGAAAGACATTTCACGGGAAGACACCTTAGCATTGCATGGTGCAGGAGGATTGGGGCCAAAGGAGAGTAACCCCTCAGACATCCTGGGCCTTCTAGCCTTCTTCCCATCACAAGATTATTAAAGTATTCATCGCATTCCTTTGTTGTTTTGTGCTGGGTTTATGTAATCTCATGTGTTGAGTGTCTAGGTACCCTCATGCCTGGTTCTTAAAAAAATTTGTTCTGCCTCCTCTTAGTGGGTCTGTCATAGTATTAGTTCAAATAGCCTCATTCTTTACAGTGTGACTTACGCGAATTTATATTCTCAAATTCACACAAATCAGTTTTATAAGTAGTCATACCTAGTTAGATATGTTACATTAATAGATCCATCTATATTCATATATGTCCTCATGTATTCTCTCTATATAATTTATTTCTTAATCATCCTTAATAAATGCTATGAAACTTTCTTCATAGGGCTGGGAATAGCCATAATAATCTTACAAAAAGAATTAGAAACATTTTAAGTATAGTAAATTTTACTTGATTAAATATGAGAAAACCTATCTCATTCTTCTCACGGATATTGAATGAGGATATCCTACACACCTTGTGCTGCTAATGTGTTTTCCTCGTAAGCAACACATGACTTGTGAGGAAGAGAATCCAAACATGCACATGCGTACACACATGCACTGTACAAGACATAAGGCTGAGGGTTTAGTACCATGAAAAAGGTGTAGCTGATGCTGTAGAGGGGTTGAGAGGAGGGACAGAGAAGCTTTGATATGGAAGAGCTGGGAAGACTTCACCAAAGTGCTGAATATTATCTAGATAATTAATTTAACACATGTATCTAGCAGGTCTGGGCCCCCTTTCAGGTACAGGTGATGTACCAGCAAACAAATTAGAAAATTCCTGCTTTATAATCTTACGGGACAAGGCAAGTGATGTGTAAATAAATGTGCATTTCTGATGGCCAGGAATGCTGTGGAGGAGAAAGGGCAAAGGACAGGTTGGGTCGGGGGAGAGGAGCATTGATTGTTTCTGTTAAGGTGGTCAGAGAAGGAAACGCAGAGGGCACATTTAAGCAGATGCCTGGAAGGGAGAGAGAGGCTATGTGACTATCAGGGTGAAGAGCATTCCAGGCAATTGAAGAGCAGGGAGAAAAGCAGGAGGTGTAAACAGGGCAGGGAGACCAGTTGGCTGGAGCAGAAGGAGTGGGAGCATGGTGCTAATGAGCACAGAGAGGGAGGTAGGAACCAGGGATGGCAGACCTCTTAAGTTTTGGAAGAACCTGCCTTTAATTTAGTGAAATGGGAAGAAAGGAGTGGGTGCTGAGTAGAGGTATACCATGATCTGAGTGCAGTCGGAAAGGACCTCTCTGGTTGCTGTTGGGTAGGAAGGGGTGGGTAATGTGATGTGATTTTTATAATAATTATAATAATCCAGGTAGGAGGTGATGTGATAATTGTTATAATCCAGGTAGCAGATGTGATGTGATTATTGTAATAATTGTAATCATCCAGGTAGGAGACACTTGGATCAGGGTGAAGTGGTGGAAGTGGTAAGAAGTGGTTGTGTTCTAGATATATTTAGAAGGCAGAGGGACAGGACTTCCTGATGGGACTAGTTATGGCATATGAGAGAAAGAGGAGAATCTGGGATGACTCCAAGATGTGTGATCTAATGTTGGGAAGGATGGAGGTGACCTTTACTGATATCAGGAAAGTGAGAAATGAGCAGGTTGTGAAGGGGACAATCAGGTTTTCTATCTGTGACAAACTTGAGATGCCTATTAGACTTCCAAGTGGAGAATGAATAGAAGTTGGATATACCCGTCTGGGTCCTGAGGAGTGAATGGCATTTAAGAAGTTATGTATACTGGTAAAGGGATTTTGAATCAGAGGGAATAGTTTAGGAAAGATGTTTGTTGAAACCGAAGGTCGGTTATTAATTTAAGAAGCCATTTTGGAAGTCTAGGTGAGTTAACTGTACTCTGATCTAGGGTGTTGGCAATACAGATGGAAAGAAAGAGACACTGAATGAAAGGGCTTGATAACTAATGGAAAGTGGGGAGAAGGGAGACACAATGCTGAAAAGTAGTTCTTAGGTTTCAGATGTGGAAGTCTGGAGGGCAGGTAGCAACATTAGTAATCATAAGAGGAAAAGCAGGTTTGGGGACAAGATTGAATTTGGTCACATCAACAATAACCATGCATTTAATGAGTTACAGTTTACAAAATCCCTTGTAGATATTATTTTAATCGGTCCTTTGACAATTGAAGTGCCTAGGGGATATCTTTGCAGAATTATTCATTCAAGGAGCAATTGGAAATGAGTCAAAGGAAAGACTGGTTCCTTAACTATGGAATTGGGAATCGCTTGGAAGTTTTATCTCCATGAGCTAGCCAAGCTAGGAATTCCTAAACTAGCTAAGAGCAAACATGCTTTAAAATAAATAATGATGGCAACTTCTTGGAAGGCAAAATTTAGATGCCCAGGCAGGAGATGTACAGTTACTTAAATAAAGTCAGGAGTGCAGTATAAAAGATCAGTAGGAAAGAGCTTCAAAGGCTCTTTCTCTCATTCCTACTTGCTCCCCAGTATTTAGATCTGACCTCTCCCCCTCCTTGAGACCAACCTCAGTCTCTCTTTGCCGTCTGGTATAGTTTACCCGGCTCTTTTATGTGCATGTAGAGAGCACACATGTGCCTGTGCCCAGTGCCTCACTCTGTTCATTGGTTTCTACTGTGGATTGAGCTCTCCCAAAGCTTAACCTCAGTCCGTCCTTGTGTTACAAGTTGAATGCATGCAAGCTGCCCTCATGAAAGAAGAGGGTTATAGAGGGAGTTCTAAAGAACTGTTAGAAACTACCTGTGGTACTTTGAGATCGAGTCTAGTGCTGTGGTAGGGCAGCTCTTATAGAATCCTTTAGAAGCAGCGGCACATTTATTCATGGTATTGAACTTGAGGAGAAAAACATCAGGTAAACATTAAATTATTGATTAGTGCCCAGAAAAGGCAGCCAAACCTCAACAGATTGTCTTTGAGGGAGATAGAAAATAAAAAGAGATGATTCTAGTGACTATTTTTTTCCCTAAAGTAATCCCTTTATGCATTGACCTCTTTAGATATAAACCTTTGGTTATATTTTTGTCAGACTCATATAGGGCTATTCTAGCCATTTTGTGAAAAAATTCACACTCGAGTGCTAGGCTCTTGTTTCTGAGTTTTGGAAAAACACCATCTATCTCTGTAGTGCTACTTTTGTGACACTATCACTGAAGCGTCTAGGTAGAAATTTAGGTGGAATTTCCAAATGTAAGTCCAACCTCAGTTTAACCCTAAGTCTGGTCATGTGAACTTCCATAGTAACCACGAGTGTTTTTATTGTAGGAGTAAGTCCATGAGTGATGTCAGCGCAGAGGATGTTCAAAACTTGCGTCAGCTTCGTTATGAGGAGATGCAGAAATTAAAATCACAATTGAAAGAACAAGATCAGAAATGGCAGGATGTGAGTATTTGGGGGGTTGGTGGGGGAGAGTGTATTTGTTTGACTATTCTTTGCCTTTCTCAAAATCAATATACTCAAGACCATTTTCCTTGCTATTACAGAATTTGGTTCTGTATAAAATGTGACCAACTTGATTTACAAAGATTTTTAAACCATTTTTTCCTATTATTGTTGCATATTTTAAAGGCCATTGTGAAAAATATACCTGAATGTTTATTTTTTAACATTTCCTGAGTTCTGAAAAATGTGAGTTGCTTCCTTGCAGTATAGTGAACTTACTCACTTGTTTATGTGGTTGAATTTGGAATATGCACAGTGAGTATACTTCTGATGGGAAAGACCTGGCCAAAGTTTCGGGAGAGAAGAGCAACAGGGCTCTGGCCGAGATCTTGGCATCAGTAAGGAGAGATGAAAAGGGTTAGTAGTTAAGAGTTAATTAAGGAGATTTGGGGAGAAATAAGTAATAGAACTCAGAGCAATATTTTGGCTGTAGAAGTCATTAATAATATGAATCAAAATGAAATGTTTTTGCAGAATTGACCTATATCCAGGTGTTTATATAGATATAGACTTAATCTTCAGTTTTGATCCTGAAGGAAAAAGCTTGACCGTTTATTTGAATAAAGTAATTGTGAAAAACTGAAGAAATGCAAAGAAATACAGTAGACAAACGATCAGAGCAAACCCAAAGGAATTTGAGGACGACTTTGTGGTGAGAGTTGAGTGACAGCATGAACACAGGAGTCAGAGTGAATCTTAATTTTCAGAGGAATTAATAGTCTCTGAAATGAAGAAACCCCTAACCTGCCTACCTTTCTAAATTCTGGTGCCTCTTTTAATTGGGAACTCAATTTAATTGTCAAGAAACAGTAGTTCAGTATCACTTTGCCAAAATACATGGTGAATTTTCTGGTATGAAAGTAAGTATTAAGGGCTTATCTGTTAGGTTAAGTCAGATAAAAATTCATGGCAGTTATGCTATAGGACTAAATGTGCATTGCTTTTGTTCTTTCTGGAAGAAGTTCATATTGGTCTCAGGCTGTTTTTAAAGCAGGAGTGCCTCTGTGGGCTGGCAAGGGATATAAACCAAACTTACTTTGCATGCCCTGGGGGTGAAGTTTGGTTTTGTCTGAGACCTTGAATGTGCTTCTGTTTGGACTGGAATGCCACTACTAGTTCTTGGCATGGCGTTTTTCTGTTTTGGAGACATGGAAAACTTTATACCTTGCAAAATGTCTTAACCCCCTGTGTATCAGAACCAGCCTAGGTTTCTGGGGGGAAGTGAAAAGCTGAATTAAGATGACTGTCCGTGGGGTCACCCAGCAAGTTTAGGCTTAACGTTCCTGGGGATATGGGAGACAGGTGTTGGTTTGTTCTCACCACATGTTCCTTATTACCCTCACCTAGGTGGACTTAACCCTTCTGAAATCGTATACTCCAGTCTCACCTTCCCAGTTAAAGCCTCTCCACAGCCTCCCCTTCCGGAGTAGAACCAGCCCCTTGGTTCTTAGGACCCCACTCTCTCACGCAATCCTGTCACACTCATTCCTGAACTTTTATTTAGATGTCTGTCTCTCCCCTGTAAACTGAGAGTTTCTTGAGGGGAACCACACCTTATGCATGTATGTATTAATAGTTCCTACACTTGGGCCTGTCTCAAAGTGGGGATTGAGCTCTGTTCGTTAAATGAAAGACAGACTGCATCTGCGCTTAACCATCATAGTTGCGTTTTTGTTTCAGTCTTACCAGTGAAACGTGTTTCACGTAACAGCCAAGTTTTTGGAGTGAGATGAAAACGAATTTGAAACAGTTCTTGATCTAATTACAAGCATTTAGCATTCTTTGTGAAGTGTGCAATGAGGCAGATACTTTCTGGGAAAATAAAAATGGGGTCTATCTTATTAGGTCAGGTTTTTCAGACAGACACAGATAAAGGCTTAGTACAGAAACACTGGCTATAAAAAGCAAAATTAGGGCACCTTGGCATCCAGTTAGAGTGAATAGTTTCAGTGATGTAATAAGATACTCTGGCACATTCTCGGTGCTAGAAATGGTGTGTATAAATTCAGGTGTGCCCCTGCTGATGTGATTTTTCTGTCAGGACCTTGCAAAATGGAAAGATCGTCGAAAAAGTTACACTTCAGATCTGCAGAAGAAAAAAGAAGAGAGGGAAGAAATTGAAAAGCAGGCACTTGAGAAGTCTGAGAGAAGCTCTAAGACGTTTAAGGAAATGCTCCAGGACAGGTAATAATGCTGAATGCACCTTGGTTGTAACAGGGGCGGGGATGCCAGGCTTATAAACAGGTATTTTGTATAAGTATAGTGTGACGTAAGTGTCCACCAATATTCAACTTTAATCAAATATGCAAAGAAACGTTCCAGATTTCGGTCTGCAGTGAAAAAAACAAAGCATTGTTGAAATAGTGACTTAGAATAACAAAATAAATTTATTATTTCTTCTCTTACATTGTGCGTTCACATGCAGAATTGGATGGCGTTGGCTATGTTTGGTGTAGGAAATACACTACATTTTACTCTTAAGCGAATTAAGGAATGAGATGGTCCAATAAAACCAGCTCTTTTAACTAAATTGTGTAAAATATAACAAAGTTCTTTTTCATGCTTAATGGCACAGTTCATTATATTTTAAAGAAAGTTTTTATAAATGTGTTTTATTCTTTGCTTTGTAACATAACAGCATAAAGGTCAAATTTAAACTTTCCTGTAAAGCATTCGTTACTGTGTGAAACATTAGGGTATTTACAGGTGAAAGAGAAGGAAAATATGCTTTTAGAATAACGTCAGAAAGGAAATATGCTGTCAGATGAAATGAAACAAGACTGCTTTCTGCCCTAAAAGCCAATGATAAGCACAGTTTTGTTCACTTAAATGCAATTCAGTTAGGTTGGGAGGTAGACATTCCTTTCTAAATGTGAGAGATGAGGGTGTTTTGTAAACCTTTCTGTAAATATGAATGGTGACTTTTAATCCCTAATAATTGTTCATACAAGTTCTGTCAATCTATATTAAATCATACATTAGTTTGATCTCCACAAAAGCCTGAATCTTTTGTAATCTTTTATTTTTACTTAGTTATTGGAGATTTATCCAGGTAAAAATCCTCACAGGGCTGTCAATTAATCTACGACTTCGGAAGGTTCAAATTGGTTATCAGTCATGATATTTATAGTGTTTTAATTTTGAAAGTTATAAACTTGTGGATACAATTTTGTGAATAATCTCTTACTAAAATTTCCTTGTTTCATTATTAAAATCTCTTTACAATTAAAAAATATATATCTGAGTGAAGTATTTGAGAATCTTTTTAATTAAAGAAGTCAAGTTCTTATTCTTTCTTAGTTGGGACATTAGGATAATTACATACATCTTGCTGGGCAGGGTGGCTCACGCCTGAAATCCCACTTTGGGAGGCTAAGGCAGGCAGATCACAAGGTCAGGAGTTCAAGACCAGCATGACCAATATGGTGAAACCCTGTCTTTACTAAAAATATAAAACAATCAGCCAGGTGTGGTGACACATGCCTGTAATCCCAGCTACTCAGGAGGCTGAGGCAGGAGAATTGCTTGAACCCTGGTGCCAGAGGTTGCAGTGAACTGAGACCGCACCACTGCACTCCAGCCTAGGTGACAGGGCGAGACTCCATCTCAAAAAAAAAAAAAAAAAAAAGGATAATTACATCTTTATGCTCTGTAAGTGTTGCATTGATTCTTGTGTGAAGTTTAACAGCTTTTTATTCCCAGTCCATTTTATGTGTTGATTACTCTCTCTCCACCTCTCTGAGTCAAATGCGTATCTTTGTGGTGATGGTGCATTTCTTTCTGCTAAGGGAATCCAAAAATCAAAAGTCTACCATTCCATCGAGGAGGAGAATGTATTCTTTTGATGATGTGCTGGATGAGGAAAAGCGACCCCCAACACTGATGATGTCAGAAGCAAATTACCAGAGTGAGACAGTAGAAGAGAAGGGAACAACTTATCCTTCAGAAATTCCTGAAGAAGATTCTGCCATTTTTGCAGAAAGAGAGGACAGTGTAACTACTGAAATTCAGTTTCCTTCTCAAAGTTCCGCGGAGGAACAATGTCCAGCCTCTTTGTCTTCTCTGCGTTCACTGAGCACCCAAATGGAGTCGACTCGTGTTTCAGCTTCTCTCCCCAGAAGTTACCAGAAAACTGATACAGCCAGGTTAACATCTGTGGTCACACCAAGACCTTTTGGCTCTCAGACAAGGGGAATCTCATCACTCCCCAGATCTTACACGGTAAAAAAAATGTTCTCAGTTCATTTCGTTTTTTCTGAAGAGCAAAATGTTGGTAAACTTGTGCAGAGGTTGGGGTTATATCAACTTGATGTGTAAACTATACATAACATATATAAGGACATTTTATTTTATGCCAATTCAATGCAAATTTAACACTTAAGATATAGCAATGATACAGAATTTATTAAACTTTCAATTCCGTGAAAATAGGGCTGATACATTTTTTTTTTCTCTTTTGATGTCAATCTTTTTTTTTTTTTCCCATTTATTTATTTTATTGCATTTTAGGTTTTGGGGTACATGTGAAGAACATGCAAAATTGTTCCATAGGAACACACGTGGCAGTGTGATTTGCTGCCTTCCTCCCCATCACCTACATCTGGCATTTCTCCCCTTGCTATCTCTCCCCAGCTCCCCACCCCCCACCGTCCCTCCCCTATTTCCCCCCAACTGACCCCAGTGTGTAGTGCTCCCCTCCCTGTGTCCATGTGTTCTCATCGTTCAACACCCGCCTATGAGTGAGAACATGCGGTGTTTGATCTTCTGCTCTTCTGTCAGTTTGCTGAGAATGATGGTTTCCAGGTTCATCCATGTCCCTACAAAGGACCCAAACTCATCGTTTTTGATGGCTGCATAATATTCCATGGTGTATATGTGCCACATTTTCCCTATCCAGTCTATCGTCGATGGGCATTTGGGTTGGTTCCAGGTCTTTGCTATTGTAAACAGTGCTGCAATGAACATTCGTGTACACGTGTCCTTATAGTAGAACGATTTGTAATCCTTTGGATATATACCCAGTAATGGGATTGCTGGGTCAAATGGAATTTCTATTTCTAGGTCCTTGAGGAATCGCCACACTGTCTTCCACAATGGTTGAACTAATTTACACTCCCACCAACAGTGTAAAAGTGTTCCTATTTCTCCACATCCTCTCCAGCATCTGTTGTCTCCAGATTTTTTAATGTTCGCCATTCTTACCGGCGTGAGATGGTATCTCAATGTAGTTTTGATTTGCATTTCTCTGATGACCAGTGATGATGAGCATTTTTTCATATGTTTTTTGGCCTCACGTATGTCTTCTTTTGAGAAGTGTCTGTTCATATCCTTTGCCCACTTTTGAATGGGCTTGTTAGTTTTTTTCTTGTAAATCTGCTTTAGTTCTTTGTAAATTCTGGATATCAGCCCTTTGTCAGATGGGTAAACTGCAAAAATTTTTTCCCAATCTGTTGGTTGCCGATTCACTCTAATGATTGTTTCTTTTGCTGTGCAGAAGCTGTGGAGTTTGATTAGGTCCCATTTGTCTATTTTGGCTTTTGTTGTCAATGCTTTTGGTGTTTTGGTCATGAAGTCGTTGCCTACACCTATGTCCTGAATGGTTTTGCCTAGATTTTCTTCTAGGGTTTTTATGGTGTTAGGTCTTATGTTTAAGTCTTTAATCCATCTGGAGTTAATTTTAGTGTAAGGTGTCAGGAAGTGGTCCAGTTTCTGCTTTCTGCACATGGCTAGCCAGCTTTCCCAACACCATTTATTGAACAGGGAATCCTTTCCCCATTGCTTGTTTTTGTCTGGTTTGTCAAAGATCAGATGGTTGTAGATTTGTTGTGTTGCCTCCGAGACCTCTGTTCTGTTCCATTGGTCTATATCTCTGTTTTGGTACCAGTACCATGCTGTTTTAATTACTGTAGCCTTGTAGTATAGTTTGAAGTCTGGTAGTGTGATGCCCCCCGCTTTGTTCTTTTTGCTTAGAATTGACTTGGCTATGCGGGCTCTCTTTTGGTTCCATATGAAGTTTAAGGTGGTTTTTTCCAGTTCTGCGAAGAAGGTCATTGGTAGCTTGATGGGGATAGCGTTGAATCTGTAAATTACTTTGGGCAGTATGGCCATTTTCACGATATTGATTCTTCCTAACCATGAACATGGAATGTTTCTCCATCTGTTTGTGTCCTCTCTTATTTCCTTGAGCAGTGGCTTGTAGTTCTCCTTGAAGAGGTCCTTTACATTCCTTGTTAGTTGTATTCCTAGGTATTTTATTCTCTTTGTGGCAATTGTGAATGGAAGTTTGTTCTTGATTTGGGTCTCTTTAAGTCTGTTATTGGTGTATAGGAATGCATGTGATTTTTGCACATTGATTTTGTATCCTGAGACTTTGCTGAAGTTGCTTATCAGTTTCAGGAGGTTTGGGGCTGAGACGGTAGGGTCTTCTAGATACACAATCATGTCGTCTGCAAATAGAGACAATTTGACTTCCTCCTTTCGTATTTGAATGCCCTTTATTTCTTTTTCTTGCCTGATTGCTCTGGCTAGAACTTCTAATACTATATTGAATAGCAGTGGTGAGAGAGGGCATCCTTGTCTGGTGCCACATTTCAAGGGGAATGCTTCCAGTTTTTGCCCATTCAGTATGATATTGGCTGTTGGTTTGTCATAAATAGCTTTTATTATTTTGAGATACGTTCCATCGATACCTAGCTTATTGAGGGTTTTTAGCATAAAGGGCTGTTGAATTTTGTCAAAGGCCTTCTCTGCATCAGTTGAGATAATCATGTGGTTTTTGTCTGTGGTTCTGTTTATGTGGTGAATTACGTTTATAGACTTGCGTATGTTGAACCAGCCTTGCATCCCCGGGATGAAGCCTACTTGATCATGGTGGATAAGCTTTTTGATGTGCTGTTGCAATCGGCTTGTCAGTATTTTATTGAAGATTTTTGCATCTATGTTCATCATGGATATTGGCCTGTAGTTTTCTTTTCTTGTTGAGTCTCTGCCGGGTTTTGGAATCAGGATGATGTTGGTGTCATAAAATGATTTGGGAAGAATTCCCTCTTTTTGTATTGTTTGGAATAGTTTCAGAAGAAATGGTAGCAGCTCCTCTTTGTATGTCTGGTAGAATTCAGCTGTGAACCCATCTGGACGTGGGCTTTTTTTGGGTGGTAAGCTCTTAATTGCTGCCTCAACTTCAGACCTCGTTATGGGTCTGTTCAGGGTTTCGGCTTCTTCCTGGTTTAGGCTTGGCAGGAGGCAAGTGTCCAGGAATTTATCCATTTCTTCCAGGTTTATTAGTTTGTGTGCATAGAGTTGTTTGTAATAATCTCTGATGATGGTTTGAATTTCTGTGGAATCTGTGGTGATATCCCCTTTATCGTTTTTTATTGCATCAATTTGGTTATTCTCTCTTTTCTTTTTTATTAATCTGGCTAGTGGTCTGTCTATTTTGTTGATCTTTTCAAAAAACCAGCTCCTGGATTTATTGATTTTTTGAAGGGTTTTTTGGTCTCTGTCTCCTTCAGTTCTGCTCTGATCTTAGCTATTTCTTGTCTTCTGCTTGGCTTTGAGTTTTTTTGATCTTGCTCCTCTAACTCTTTCAGTTTTGACGATAGGGTGTCAATTTTTGATATCTCCTTGCTTCTCATGTGGGCACTTATTGCTATATATTTTCCTCTAGAGACTGCTTTAAATGTGTCCCAGAGATTCTGGTATGTTGTGTCTTCATTCTCGTTGGTTTCGAAGAACATCTTTATTTCTGCCTTCATTTCATTGTTTATCCAGTCAACATTCAAGAGCAAGTTGTTCAGTTTCCATGAAGCTGTGCGGTTCTGAGTTAGTTTTTGGATTCTGAGTTCTAACTTGATTGCACTGTGGTCTGAGAGACTGTTTGTTAGGATTTCCGTTCTTTTGCATTTGCTGAGGAGTGATTTACTCCCAATTATGTGGTCCATTTTAGAGTAGTTATGATGTGGTGCTGAGAAGAATGTATATTCTGTGGCTTTGGGGTGGAGAGTTCTGTAAATGTCTATTAGGTTTGCTTGGTCCAGGTCTGAGTTCAAGTCCTGGATATCCTTGTTAATTTTCTGTCTGGTTGATCTGTCTAATGTTGACAATGGGGTGTTAAAGTCTCCCACTATTATTGTGTGGGAGTCTATGTCTCTTTGTAAGTCATTAAGAACTTGCCTTATGTATCTGGGTGCTCCTGTATTGGGTGCATATATATTTAGGATCGTTAGCTCTTCTTGTTGCATTGATCCTTTTACCATTATGTGATGTCCCTCTTTGTCTCTTATGATCTTTGTTGCTTTAAAGTCTAATTTATCAGAGATGAGAATTGCAACTCCTGCTTTTTTTTGCTCTCCATTTGCTTGGTAAATCTTCCTCCATCCCTTTATTTTGAGCCTTTGTTTATCCTTGCATGTGAGATGGGTTTCCTGGATACAGCACACCGATGGGTTTTGTCTTTTTATCCAATTTGCCAGTCTGTGTCTTTTGATTGGGGCATTTAGTCCATTTACATTTAGGGTTAATATTGTTATGTGTGAATTTGATACTGCCATTTTGGTGCTAGCTAGCTGTTTTGCCCTTTAGTTGAGCTGGTACTTGTTGTTCCTTTATATGTGTAGAGCCTCTTTCAGGAGCTCTTGTAGAGCTGGCCTGGTGGTGACAAAATCTCTGAGTACTTGCATGTTCCCAAAGCATTTTATTTTTCCTTCACTTATGAAGCTTAATTTGGCTGGATAGGAGATTCTGGGTTGAAAGTTCTTTTCTTTAAGGATGTTGAATATTGGCCCCCATTCTCTTCTGGCTTGTAGGGTTTCTGCTGAGAGATCTGCTGTGAGTCTGATGGGCTTCCCTTTATGGGTAACCCGACCTTTCTCTCTGGCTGCCCTTAGTATTTTCTCCTTTATTTCGACCCTGGTGAATCTGACGATTATGTGCCTTGGGGTTGCTCTTCTTGACGAATATCTTTGTGGTGGTCTCTGTATTTCCTGGACTTGAATGTTTGCCTGCCTTGCTAGGTAGGGGAAGTTTTCCTGGATAATATCCTGAAGAGTATTTTCCAGCTTGGATTCATTCTCTTCGTCGCATTTGGGTACGCCTATCAAACGTAGATTAGGTCTTTTCACATAGTCCCACATTTCTTGGAGACTTTGTTCATTCCTTTTTACCCTTTTTTCTCCAGTCTTGCCTTCCCGTTTTATTTCATTGAGTTGATCTTCAACCTCTGATATCCTTTCTTCTGCTTGGTCCATTCGGCTGTTGATACTTGTGCATGCTTCACGAAGTTCTCGTGTTGCGTTTTTCAGCTCCATCAATTCACTTATATTCCTTTCTATTTTGTCCATTCTCATTAGCATTTCGTCAAATCTTTTTTCAATGTTCTTAGTTTCTTGGCATTTGGTTAGAACATGTTCTTTAAGTTCACAGAAGTTTCTTACCCACCTTCTGAAGTCTGATTCTGTCATTTCATCACACTCGTTCTCCATCCAACCTTGTTCCCTTGCTGGTGAGGAGTTGTGATCCCTTTTAGGAGGAGAGGTGTTCTGGTTTCGGGTGTTTTCATCCTTTTTGCGCTGGTTTCTTCCCATCTTTAAGGATTTATCCACCTGTCGACTTTGTAGTTGCTGGCTTTCAGATTGGGTCTCAAATCTTTCAGATTGACGTTCTGTTTGTTGATGGTGAGGTTATTTCTGTTTCTTGGTTTTCCTTCTGACAGTCTGGCCCCTCTGCTGTAGGTCTGCTGAGGTTCACTCCAGGCCCTGCTTGCCTGGCGTTCACCTGCAGCAGCTGCTGAACAGCAAGGGTTGTTACCAGTTTTCTTCTTCTGCTATCTTTGTCCCAGAAGGATACCTGCCTAGTGTCGATCTGATCTCTCTTTTATGAGGTGTCTTTTTGGATATATAGGGGTCAGGGAGCTGCTTGAGGAGACGGTCTCTTCTTTATTGGATCTCAAATGGTGAGCTGCGAGCTCTGTTGTTGTTCATTCAGAGCTGCTGGGCAGGTACTTTTAGGTCTGCTGCAGCAGAACTCATAAACTGCTTTTTGTTCCCAGGTGCTCTGTCCCAGGGATTTAGGGCTTTATTTATGAGTTTCCGTTATGCTGCTGCCTTCTTTTTGTTTTTTTTTTTTCCTTCAGACCTGCCCAGCCCAGCAAGGAGGCAGCCTAGTCACTGCCGGCCTATAGCAGCTTTGCTGAGCTGCTGTGGGCTCCGCCCCGCTGAAGAGTGAACTTCTCTGCAGTCCTGTTTATATGGGTGTAGTTAGAACTGCTTTGGCGATGGTGGCCCGCCTCTGTTGGGGCGGAGTCTCTGCTGTGGCGGGTTGCCTTGGCAACGGCGGGCTGCCTCGGTAATGGCGGACGCCCCTCCCCCACAGAGCTGGACCGTCCCGGGTTCAGCTGCGCTGGCTGTGAAACTCTCAATCCAGAGTTTCTGGTTGCTGTTCTTTTTTGGGGGTGAGACCAGCCGAGCCTGATCGCCTGGCTCCCTGCCTCAGAGCCTTTTTTAAGTTGGTGTTCCAGTCGCCTGTTGAAGAGGCGCTGGGGTCTGTTTGTTTTCCCCTGTGGCCACTCACTGCGCTGGCTTAAACAGCGGCACTGAGGTTTGTGGCGCTTTTTCTTCTTTTTTTTGCCCTGGAATCTACTGTCCTGGTTCTCTGCTCAGTCCCCTTTTTGAACCAGCGTATGGGCGACTTCCCGTGGCTCCAATCGCCAGCCTAAAGGGCCCCCGGACCAGTGTATTTTGTAAGGAGAACCGCGGCTCCGGGGCACCGACAAAGCAGCCGCGTGGGGCAAAGCAGCAGCGCTGGCCGAAACAGCCGCGCTGGCGACCGTGGAGCACCTCTGCCTGGGAATTTCCTAGTCTGTGGGCAATAAAAACGGGGCGTCCACTCACCCTCTGCGCTTTCACTGGGAGCTGCAATCCTGAGCTGTTCCTAAAACGGCCATCTTGGATCGTCCCCAGGGCTGATACATTTTAAAGAATGAATAAGATATATTCTAAGGCAGAGTATCATTTTATAATGTCATTTGTTTTAGAGGTACCTTTTGTAAATTATTAGGTTGAAAAGTATGAAGTTATTGGTATGATTGTTCTTCTTGACCTACAGAACAGCAATTTCATATGGTTTAGCCTAGATATTTTCAGGTGCTTATGTACAAATTTCTGCTTTTTTCAGATTTCTTACTTCATCAGAACTTGATATGTTTGAATATAATGATTAGAATACATCTTATTGTTTATATATATGTATTTCCATTAACACCAGGTTTTGAAGATAGAGAATATTGAAGCATTTTTCCTGAGAATAAAGTGTTACCATATCTGACAATGAATGTGTTAATCTGAATTATGCAAAAGGCAGCAACACAGTCCTATGATTAATGTTCAGATTTTTTTTAGCTCTGCTAATGTACAATCCTAAACTCTAAAAGAGTATAAAAAATTGAATATTTGGGGTAAGAGAAGCCTACCTAGGCTAACTGGGAAACTCCTGAACGTAGAATTTCATGGCAGACCCCTTTTACATAGTCAAAAGACTATATATATATATATATATATATATAGACTCAGACAAATATTACCAAAATGGATTATAAGTAAAGGGTAAATATCTCTAAGACAGAAAATGTTTCCACAAATGGGTAAGGAAAAGCACTGGAAAAGTGAATATAGAAAAGTAGTGGCCATTTCAAGAGAGAGGGGATTCAAATGGCTGGTAGCAAGGCACACAGAAGTATGTTCAGCTTCCCTGGAACAAAAATGAGGCATATGACTTTTTACCCATTGGAGTCATATAGACTTAAAACATTGAAAATGTCTAGCGTTGGCAAGGATGCTGAGAAACAGATGTTCTCATACATTACTTTGGGAGTGTATTGCTACAATTATTTCTAGAAACTATATATATATAAAACTTTTGTTCCAGCAAGCCTACTTTTGGAAATCTGTGCTATAAAAATGAAAATTCCAATTATAAAGAGATATGGATGTTTGTTGCAGTATTTTTGGAAGTGACAGAACATTTTAAGCAACTTTAAATGCACATCAAATGAATAAATTGTTGATGTCCATACTACAGAATATTCAGAAAGTAAAGGGACTGGTTAGAGTTTTATCTGTTGACCTGGAGTGGATCAACAGGACACCAAGACTGGGATAGCATTAGGAGAAATACCTAATGTAGATGATGGGGTGTTGGGTGCAGCAAACCACCACGGCATGTGTATACCAATGTAACAAACCTGCACATTCTGCACATGTACCCCAGAATTAAAGTGTGTAAAGTGTGTGTGTGTGTGTGTGTGCGTGCGCATATATATATATATATATATGTATATGCACACACACACACATCACTGAGACCTTTTGGCTCTCAGTCAAGGGGAATCTCATCATTCCCCAGTTCTTACATGGTAAAAAACGTTCTCAGTTCATTTAGTCTGTTCTGAAGAGCAAAATGTTGGTGAACTTGTACAGAGGTTGGAGTTACACCATCTTGTTGTGTAAACTGCAAATAAGACACACACACACACACACACAAACACACACACACACACGGCAATTTTATTTTGTGCCAGTTTAGATTCAGTGGAAATTTAATGCTTAAGATGTTTGCTTGGAGTAAACAAGCAAAGCAAAGTTCAGAAGTTTGTATGTGATATGAATGCTTTTGCTAAAACAATTTCCCCTACTACATGTGTGTTTATCTATTAGTGTAAAAGAACTCAGTCCAAGCTTTTAGCAATACTTATGTTACTGTGGGAGGTATGTTATTTTAGTTTTAAAATATTAATTTAATAATTAACTTTTAGAAACAGAAATAAAGGTAACAGAATATCAAGTTTAAAGTGATTTTTTCTTATTTAGATGGATGATGCTTGGAAGTATAATGGAGATGTCGAAGACATTAAGAGAACTCAAAACAGTGTGGTCAGCACCCCTGCACCAAACCTGGACGTAAACCAACTGGCTTCAAGCTCATCTAGCCAGAAAGAGGTAGCTGCAACAGAAGAAGGTGTGACGAGGCTGCCCTCTCCCACATCCCCCTTCTCATCTCTTTCCCAAGACCAGGCTGCCACTTCTAAAGCCACGTTGTCTTCCACATCTGGCCTTGATTTAATGTCTGAATCTGGAGAAGGGGAAATCTCCCCCCAAAGAGAAGTCTCAACACCCCAGGTGAGTTTGGGAAAGTTCTTTATCATCTGTGGCTCAGACATGCATTTAAATCTGGAAGCTTGTCTCAAACCTCAAACCTCTACGTGTTAATCTGGGCTAAAAATGTGAAAAATGATATAATGGTTTATTTTGAACAGATCTTGGTGGAAGTCTGTCTCTTTCTACTCTGAGTACGTAGATCCAGATAAAACTTGTGCTATGAGACTATGGAGACTTTGTGCACCAGCCTCCTTGGGATTTGGCTGGTGTTTTCTCTGTATTCCACATTTCAGTAGTTGTGGCCTTATACTGCTAGTGCCCCTTAGTCCCAGGTTTCAGGTACAATTGTCACTTTAAAGGTTTTAGATGCAGGTCTGGATGTGCCTCATTCTTGCCCCAGGGAAGCTGAACATGAGTCTGCATGCTTTGGGTGTCTTTGGGTGACAGAAGTCCTTTCCCAGGGAACTTAACAGGCCACAAGGAAAAATTGATGCACATGATAGGTAAGGTGCTGGCCTCTAGGGACGTGGCATTTCTTTTTTGATTATTTTAATCTTCTAGTGACTTTTAATACTATTTCATACTTTAGAACATCTATAATTTTTGATGGCCTCTTGTCTCTTAATGGGACTATCAAGGCTTGTTATAAAATGACAATTGTATTCCACAACATTTGGAGTCCAAACAAAATATACCATCAGGTGATGAATGATTGGGGATGTGTGTGGTTTTTCCTTCTTAAAATTCTAATAGATGACTTCTTAGAGAATGATTAGGTAATAAATGTTCTTTGTAGCCTACCTATAAAACATACTGAAAGTCTTTGGTGAACAGAAAGCTCTTTCTTAGAAGAATTCTTGCTAAGCAATTTGATAGTTGAATGAACCCCTTAGCATGGAGGAGCTTTTGTGGTTCTTTGGCTTGCTTCAGTATTCCCTGTTGCCCTGCAAAACATTAAGAGAGAGAGAGAGAGAGTGTGAGTGTGTGTGTGTGTGTGTGTGTGTACACACACACACACACACACACACACACACACGACTTGTCCTAAGTTATATTAATGAAATGACGTGAGATTATTTGGCATTTCATATTTATTATTATTGAGTTTTTATTTGTGTGGGAAAACTTAAGAAATTTAAACTTTTTTTTCTAGTTATAAGGTACTATGTACTTTAGAAAATTTGGAAATGCAGGAAAGTATAAATAATTTAAATTCCTGATGATTCCATCATTTAGAGGTAATTGTTAACATCTAGGTATATGTCTTTTGTTTTTTTTTCCCTTGCATATTTACAGGCATGTATCTAAAAACAATTTCTTCAGCTTGCCGAAATAATTAGTTGCAAACTATCATTACATGTTGAAGGAATTGGAAATATATAATTAATATCCTAAGTCTCAGTTGAGGAGAACAATAGCCTATGCTATGTTATGCTTGGGGAACATAAGGTACCAGTGAATGAATAATAAAAGCAGAAGCAAAGTGTCGCTTGTTTCACGGATTTGGATATTTGCCTTGACCTTTTTCAAATAGTAAATCCAACAAAGCAGCCTGAATCAGGCGCTGCATGCTGGGTGTCGGTACCTCCCTCAGGGAGGCGGCTGACTAACTGAAGTGTGGATTAAGGAACAGAGGCTAAGTGTGGTGTGTGGGTGTGTCTCAGGTTATTGCAATTCAGAGGAGCTTCAATTAATGTGGCACTGTTTCGGCTTTCATCATTAATGGGTGTATACTTCTTTGTTCCCAAACTTGAGATGATATTCCACCAAGAAAAATTAGGCCTGATGACAGTGGAAGCCATTGGAATTCTTTAACGTAGACGTAATTCATACAGTGACTTACCAATCTCTGATGCTTGGTGTGTCCATTTCTGTGCCACTGGGGCCGTAGCTTCTGTACCACCCCACTGCCTTTGTCTCAGAAGGAGCCTACGGCCTCGAGGGAAGGCTGTGAATGTGTATGACAGCTGAGCAATATGTGGAGGGCCTGTGCAACGCTCCCCCAGATGTCATTCAGACACTGTGACTCTAGGTGATCAGAGGGTAGCAGAATCAAGAGGAGCATGTGGCTGATCATCTGAATGTTTTAGTAGGTTTGTAAAAGAATGTTCTTCAGGTCGTTTTTCTCTTCCATACCTTGCACTTTTGCTGGCACTGCCCTTTCGTTCTTCCTCCATACCCCCCCGATGTTATTCGTTTCTTTTCTTTTTTGAGATAGGGTCTTGCTCTGTTGCCAGGCTGTAGTGCAGTGGACTCAAGGAATCCTCACCCTAGCCTCCTGAGTACGAGGGACTGCAGGCACATGTCACCACGCCTGGCTAATTTTTGTATTTTTTTGTAGAGATGGGCTTTCACCATGTTGCCCAGGCTGCTCTCGATCTCCTGGGCTCAAAGGACCCATTTATCTCGGCCTCCAAAAGTGCTGGGATTACAGATGTGAGCCACCATGTGCAGCTGGTGTTATACTTGTTTCTATTCTGGCTTCTACTATGCTATTTCCTATCTGTGCACATAGTCACAGGTGTTAGTGTGTACTACACAAGACTGGCATCAGATTAACTTGATGCCAGGTTGGACTCAGTAATTTCTCTGCTCCAAAGCCTCTAGTGGCTCTGTGTGGTTTGCTGAAAGAAGTTCGTAGTGCTCAGGGAAGCACTAATATCTCTCATTCCCTTTGTAGCGCAGTCATAGCTGATGTTAGCATGCTTATTATGTGCCAACCAGGCTTCCCAGGGAGGTATCTTAGTTAATCCTCACATCAGCCCTGTGAAGTAATCCACAATCCGAATGTTGACTATCATGATTATCCCTATTTTATTAAAATTGAGGCATGGCATTGGCATGTTACTTGTTAAAGGCTGTGCAGGGTACCAAGTGGAGTCAGGATTTGAACCCAGGCAGTCTGACTCAAGATTTAGTATCACGTTATGCTATCATGCTATGTCCTGGGAAAGAGAGGTGACTCTCCTGCATATGGCTGCTTGCTTTTTCTTGGATACGTCCTGTACCTTCTGGAGCTCATCATTGCTCCCCATTTGAAGATGCTTATTTCACACATCTCTGCCTTTTGAAGTCCTACTGTTCCTCAAAAGCCCAGGAGGACCACTTCCTTCATGAAACAAGCTATCACCCCTCCCCCACTGGAATCAAACTTCGTACCCTTGAAAAGTTTCACTCACTGAATTCTTCCTTGTCCCATATAGCTACGTGTTCCTCCTTCACTGATATTCTTTGTACATTCTTACATATAATTGGCACTTAAGTTTTACTGACTTGAACTGTATTCAAGGCCTTGATTACTAGGCCGAAGTATGAACTTGATCAGGCAGGTAATTTAGAGTCCTTATTGGTTCTTTAGTGTGGGCATTTGAAGATTAAGGGTTGTTTTAGGAATGTAAGCACTGTGGTGTTCCCTAGAGTTATTTTAGGGAAGCCAAGTCTGGAAGCAGAGACTAGTTAAGAGCCTCTCAGAATTGTGCTAATAAGGTGGCATGTGCCATAAATAGGAAAATCATAATGAAGGAAAGAACTTAATATGGTCTTATTTAAAATCTGCCCATAGGAATTTCCTTTTCATCCTCATAGCTGAGCTGTGGGTTTTGTCCTTCTCTCTTCTTTTTGCCCCCTTTCTTCTCTTGTAGTTTTGCTTTTTTCTCTACCTTTCTTGCCAATCCCAGCTGCCAAGCTCATTCTGGAGGTGAACCAAGGCAAAGGAGAGGGAGTGTGACTCCTGGAGTCCTTCACCCCCCTCCACATGCAGATGCGGTTTTCATGATTCTCGCTAAAGTTGGTCTTGCCTACAGGTTTCTGTCTTTTTTTTTTTTTTCCTGTCCTCTCAGAGCTCTAGGTTTTCAAACCCTCTACAAATCCACTTTCCAGAAACTCTGCTCCAGATTTTTTAAAGCAGTAACCCCTAAATGGGATGACACATATGGAAGGAAGGAACCTTTCTGCATGTCCATTTCCTGATCTCAGCCCCACGCTTGGTGACACTTTGGATATAGCTAAGCTTTTGCTTGCTTCTCGCCTTCACTAGAACCTGCTCTCTGTGAAGGTGGAACACAGCCCTCCCTTCCTCCTCCTCAGGGCAGTGGCTGGATCTGTACATGTTCACTGAATGCTGACCGAATTTTCTTGGCTTTAGAGCTAAGTATTTGAGAATTAAATGGGATTTTCTTTAATTGATCTGGAAACTGCTTAGCCAGCATGGGTATTATGTTTAACATTTGCTTCCATGGGAAAAAGAAGGCAATTACTGGGCATCAGTCATGTGTGCCTTGACACCTTTTAAGTGTTTCATTTAATTGTCTCAATAACCCTGCAAAGTAGGTGTATTAGCCCCATTTTTACCAATGAAGTACTTGAGATTTGAAAGTTATATAACTTGCCCCAGGCTGGTGAAATGCCTTGGCCACAACTGCGATAGATCTGATGTGAAGGTTTTTTGAAATATGACAGGCTAATGTTTGAGGACTGCCTTATGTATAGTTAAGAGAACACATGTTGACTTATTTGGACTTTGCTGTGTCTTTAGGATTTTAAAGCCACTGGGGGCTGAAATGTCTTTTTGTCTATAAAGATAAAATCATCGTTGAAATCATTTTGAGGAAAGGTGGTATTATATGTTTATTGAAACTTACCAGAACTAAATGTAGAGTTTGAAATCTTCCAAGTAGGGCAGTAAGGAGCTACTAGCAATTTAAAAACAGAGTGTGATATAATAGCATGCTCTATAACTAAAGTTCTGGCAGCTGTGTGGACAATTAACAAAATAAGGGCTGGAGGCAAGAGAGCCAGTTAGCCGGGGTAACCATAGGAGTTTAGAGGAGATAATGGCCTGAGCTAGGATGATAACCCAAGGGAGGGTGGCAAGGTGGGGATGATTCAAGATGGATTATGGACTTGATAGAACTTTGTGAAATGTAAGTGTGTATGGTGGACAGTAGGGGTATAGGGATTGTCATATTTGAGTGCGGAACAGTTAGGGGAAGGAAGGAGAAAGAGGCCCAGAAAGAATCCAGTATTTCTAACTTGGGCATCTGATGAGCTATTGATGCAATTAACCAAAATATGTAAAACAAGAGGTAGAAGAACAGGTTTGGGAGGAAGATAATGAATTTAATTTTCAAATTGTTGGACTTGGACATTGGAGGTTGCTCAGAAAAGCATATAGTCGGAGAGGTTAGAGACTGACTAAGGAACAAACGACACAATGAAAAGAGAAGAGAAAAAGAGGAACATGCTCATTAAACTGAGTGGCAAGAGACATGGGAAAGAAGGCTGGAGAAATGGAGATAATAGGTGACTTTAGAAGATTGTTTCCCAGAAAGCAAGAATAGTGGGCAGTGCCTGGAGGGATGCAAACTCAAGATGCATTTGGTAGGTAGAAGATAATCTTGAATGGGATGAGGACAGTGATGGGTGTATTACAGAAACACTACCTGCTGCAGTGGAATGAAGGATTTAGAGAGAAAGACCAAGATTTGAGGGCTACTCAATTCATTTTCTCATTCCAGTAAGACTCTGAAAGAAAGACACTAAAGAACTATATGTATACAAATTCAAAGATTATATGTTTCCTCTGATATTCCTGATTTTACAGTTCAGATTTACTTTTAGGGTTAATTTTATCAACTAAGTAGGCTTCCCTTAACACATTTGTCTAATAGAAAAAATTTGAGAAATGTAGCTTTCTGATTTGGCATTTAAGATTGGCCCTGTTTTTTAAATTAAATCCTATCTATGGTGACATGAAAATCTTAATTCAACAGATTTAGCAGAAATAAATGTTACCTTTGGGACTCCAGACCCTCCTCGTGTTTTTGTTTAAAAATGTAGAGTCTAGTACTTCTGTTTCATCAGTCATCAGTCTGACAGTTGGTGGGGCCATCTGAACTTTCAGTGGATACTTCTGCTCACGTTGTACATAATTTGAGTGAAATTTTTATTGTATATGCTGAGATGTTGATAGACAACTGCCTTATCTTTTCTGGCATGAACAACTGAAACCACTTGGATAGTTCATTATCAGTCATCAGGAATCTAGATCTCCCCCAATAATTTATATTCCTGTTCCATCCAGTTCAAAGATGATGTTGCCATTATTATCTTCTGAAGCTTGGATTCTTTGTAGGGTACTCACTTGGCATATACCTTGCAGAGAGAAATAACGAAGTTGAAATCCTTCCTGAAATAATTGTTGAACAATTTATACTTGAATGTAATTATAGATATGTTCACTTGCAAGAAGTTTCAGGAATAATTTACTGTAAGAACATGGGATTGAACAGAGATGCCTCAAGACTGCCATAAGGGGAAGGCCACACAAGTGGGGCTCTGGAACTCTTACTTTGAAACCACAGCCACTCACTTTAATCCTTTCCGTATATTGGTTTGGAAAGAGGCAGTCTGCACAAGACTTTGACTTGAAAGTAGGCTACTTAAAACCAAAATTGAAAATCAGTATCTTTATGAAAGAGAAGCTTTACCAGGCCCAGTGACATGCATGTGGTCACCTGGTTAATGAGAGAAATGTACCTGTAATTGCCCATGTGGCTCTCTCCTCTTTGCCCATGTCTATCCAGCAACTGACACAACAGTCTGCCTGGCTGTAGCCACAGGGACGCTGTCCTTTCTGTTAACGCTTTCAAAGAGGAGATGGTTATCTGCCCTTTTATTAATATTTAAGATGTTTAAGTAGCGATTTCTTTGTTTCTAAGGTAAGTATAGTCCTTCATGAGACAGTATTTCCAATTTAATATGAGTGAGACATTTCCCTCTAGGGCTTAAACTCATTCTGTTTGATCCTATATTTGGTAGAAAAGGATAATGTTCACTTGCCGTCTCCCACAAAATATTTTTTATGTACTTTGAGATTATTTATTAAGACTCCATCCTGTCTTTTATTCTTCAAGCTAGAAAACATCAGTGTTTTGAATATGTAACCTCTGATTTGTCTCTCTTTCTTATACAGCAAATAGATTCTGCACTTTAATTGGGTCTAAGTCAGATTTTTTTTTTTTTGTAAGAGTGGTGAAGATGACCACTTATTTTCACTGAGTCATCTCTAACTTAAGTGTATGGTGGTTTTGGCTAGGGAATAGAAACAACCAGTAATTTTTGCTATTCTTAGCAGAGTTTTATTATATTCTTCAGATTGGCATTCATCAGGTGATTATTAGCGAGTATTATGACTATATCTGCAATTCTGCATTTAAACTGCTTTACAAAAGACTTTCTGCTGAAACCTAAAAATCCTATACCCACTGAAAAATCAACAATTATATTTTGGGAGCAAGAATCAGCCCTAATTTATTTTTATTTCCCACAGTGCTAAGCATTGTGTTTTCTACAGAGTAAACAATCAATGTATGTCAAACAGTTGAATGAGTGAAATGTCATAGTACTTCTGCATATCCATATGGAGTAGTAAATTCTTGATCTTTTATTTAATGCCTTCCTTTAAATTATTATGTACTGTCTTAGTCCATTTAATGTTGCTATAACAGAATACCTGAGGCTGAGTAATTTATAAAGAAAAGAGGAGGTTTATTTGGCTCATGGTTCTGGTGGCTAGAAAGTCCAAGAGCATGGTACTGGCATCTGCTTGGCTTCAGGTGAGGGCCATGTGCTGTGTCACAGTATGATGGAAGAGCAGAAAGCCAAGTGGTGTGTGCAGAGACCCAACACAAGGCAACCTCACTTTATAACAACCTGTTCTTGTGGTAACTAATTCAGTCCTGCTAGAGTGAGAACGTACTCCCATGAGACTGCATTAATCCCTTCATGAGGGCAGATCCTTCATGACCCAAACACCTGTTAAAGGTAATACCTCCCAACACCACCACATTGGCCATTAAATTTTAATGTGAGTTTTGTTGGTGATGAATCACATCCAAACCATGGCATGTACTATCCTAGTTTTTTCTCAGAATATTGCCACTTGTTTTAAACTTGTTTTATGGGTAGAAAAACTTACGCAGAACGATTTATGAATTGCCCAGTTGGTCATTGGGTTAGGTTTAGCTGTCAAATTAAAACGAATAATTGGTAGGTCTTTTTCTGGAAAGTAAAACAGGTTTAGGAAGAATTCTAACAGGTAAGTCTAAGTTTTTTATGATTAGGAAACAAAGAGCTGAAGCACTAATCTCATAAATTCATATTAAGATCTGTCTGCTCACTCAAAACAAAATATGTAAATTACAAAAGAACTGAAGGTTTGCACAGACAGTATACTGTAAAACTTGAAACATTTGGTTTAGAAAATAGTTTAAGTTCCATGGAATTCAGAATTTATTGGGTAGTATAATGATAGCAATGGGAGTAATTATACCTTTTGTTCAAGAGGCTGTTGTTTTCGGGGGCTTATGGGCTGATGTTATTTCGAGGAAGTCATGGTCTGTGGCTCAGGATGTGTCAATAGGGGACTCTCTTGGTATTTTACGGAGTAATTCCTTACAATTGACATAGTTCTGCATTTTGCAGCATTTAGGATAGCTACATCTTAAACACTAAATCTTCACATGGCGTTTGGGCAAGCAAAAATGCCTTGCCAAACTTCACATGCCCACTGGGCAGTGGTACCAGTCCTAATGGATGCTACTGGAGGCTAAATTATGTGTCTGTGAACCACTTGAAGTTATTCAGATAAATATGTCAAGTATTGGGGGTAGTTTTTAAAAGCTTGGTGGTCCTTTTTGAATAAATGATTGAAATCACTGTACTTATTTCTGGGCAATGAATACATGGCCTGTATATTAGACCTAATTGTACAGTGGGCAGAAACCTAAGCTTGTCCACGGCTAATTGATTTACATTATTAATATGAAGAAAAAGATGTATAGGCAATAAGATTTTCCTTATTTTAGCAGAAAAAGAATAAACATGGTGCTATTTATATAAATGAAAGCTTTACCAACCCAAGGGAGAAACAATGAAACTTCTAGTTTATCATGAAATGATTCAAGTATACCTAGCATGCAGCCTTCCTTCTTACATGGATAGACTTTCCTCCATGTGGCTGCCAGGGACACCTGATACCAGCGTTTCATGTTTTGTTTTCAGGATCAGTTCAGTGATATGAGAATCAGCATAAACCAGACGCCTGGGAAGAGTCTTGACTTTGGGTTTACAATAAAATGGGATGTTTCTGGGCTCTTCGTAGCATCAGTTGAAGCAGGTAAATGATATATTCAGCTCTACTGAACTTTCTTCTCCTTTTTTATCTTTCATTGTGGGGTTGGGGACCACAGAAATTAGTCTATTTAACATAGGAGGAGAAAACGTGTGAAAAATGCAACTCTAAGGCCACAGGATACATCTCCTTCCCTGAGATTATTAGTTGGGGTTACAAATTCCATAATTGTTTATTATTCTTGCCTAATTCATTTTAGTTTTGAAGAGTCTTAATTTTGTGATTTTACAGATTTTGTCCATTTTGGATATTATATTTGGAAATACTAATAGCACTTAAGACTCAGAAAGAACTTGCCATGATCAGCCATACTTTGCAGTAGATGTATATGTGCTATTTAATAAGGTGATTTTTTTTTGAGTGCTCTAATATACATTGCCTATGAAGTCTTCAGGACTTCTGCAAAAGGATTACCCCTCCACCATCCAGGCCTATACCATGTCAAGCCTGGGAACTCTTTGCAAAACATTACAAGGCCTAAAATTAAAATGAAACTGTTGTATCTAAGAGGAGTGCCTTTATTTTTACTTTTATTTTTTACATATTTCAGCTATATAAAGTTGTATGTTAACACCAGTTATTTCTTTTACATCTTAAGATTGCCTTAGTTAGATAATGGTATTTTAGTTATGGAGTAATTTTAAGCAGTTTTAAATAGCTATGTTTTCTTCTGCTCCATTCCAAAATGTATCTGATTTGCAAGCTCAATTAAAATGCAGTGTATTTCACATTTCAAATTTAAGAATTACTTAATTTTTTTTGTTCTTGGGAGGTTAATAAAAAAGTTTTATTGAATATATTTTTCCTTCAATTCTTAACAAAGATGCATTCTATAGAACTTAAAAACTAACTCTAATGCTTTGCATGTTGTACTTAGATACTCAATATTAAAAAGGTAGTAACCTTTCTCCACCTGAAAAAGAGAGAAATTGTTAATTGAAATTGAGTCATTTTTCTTAAGCTTAAAGCAGCAACTAGTAGAACATGTGGAATTTTTCCCAGCTGGTTGTTTAATTTGTTTTGCATTTTTAGGTAGCCCAGCAGAATTTTCTCAGCTACAGGTAGATGATGAAATTATTGCTATTAACAACATCAAGTTTCCATATAAGGATACAAAAAAGTGGGAGGAAACCATGGCTAAGGCTCAAGAAACTGGAAACCTAGTGATGGATGTGAGGCGCTATGGAAAGGCTGGTGAGTTTGTGTTACCACCGTGTCTGGCCTTTGAAATTGGGGCCTGGCCCTTGGCAAGTGCTTCTAACAGTTGGCTTCAGTAACTTTATGTTTTTCACTTTACTTATGCTTTGGCATTAAAGGTGTTTTGTAGTCATGTTGTGACAAATCTTGAACCTTCCCCCTTTGAATATTCTGTCTGGACTTTTCACTAGCAAATTTACTGAGTTTTACATTATTTATTGAGTGATTTATATACTGGTCTGACTGAATGCAAATATCAATTGAAGACAAATGTATCTGCATCCAGGAGTTATTTAAAATACTGAGTATTAAGAATTATGCTATGATTTAACTTTCTCTGCAGCATCATAACCATATTGGTATGAGAGAGAGCCTGGTAGGTCATATTCCTGTTTATTCTCAAATAACTTTGAATGTGCATTCCATTAATGTGTTTCTTAGTTACAGAGGTTAGATGGGAAAGGGCATTAAGCCTCCGCGGACCTATCAGCTTATGATAACAACATAAAATCTCTTTCCTGGTCTTTGGGAAAGGTTCAGCAAATTTGCTAGTTTTTTCATTACTAACATGATTTAACCCTTGTGTTTTAGGAAGGTGGTCTGTTGGTAAAAAGCCCTAAACTCTTGATTGATTTCACACACTGTCTGATTTGTCTTGTCTGTGTAGATTTTTAAAAATATGTGTATTCAATGACTTTATTCTTTCCACTTCACCATTTATATGTACTCATTTGATCTTCATGTGCCAATCAGACTGGGGCAAAGACCAACCTTCCCTACCATTTATACGGCATAAAACCCTCAATCTCACCAGTATGGCTACCAAAATTATAGGTTCACCTGAAACAAAGTGGATTGATGCAACTTCTGGAATTTACAACTCAGAAAAATCTTCAAATCTGTCTGTAACAACTGATTTCTCCGAAAGCCTTCAGAGTTCTGTGAGTATCTAGAGAAGCAGGAGTAGTGGTGTGGAGCAAGGCAGCTGTTAGAATTGTGTACGGAAGAAAATAATTTATTTTGTTTGTGCAATTTTGATACTACCTTTAAAATGTAAATGATTGAATAAGGTAACATACAGTAAAGAGATATAGTAAAATATATTTTTGAAAACCATAGGTATTCCTCATACAGTAGTTGTGAATTATGTAATGGTAAAACCAAAAGATCCCATAATATTGTTTTGCAGGTGTTTTCCACCAGTCTTTCATCATTAGACCCACCTCTAAGATCTTTGTGAGCATAAAGTGGCAATTATGTAAAATTATACACTATAACTTCTTTATGCATTCCTTAGTCTTGACTGGCAGATAAATGTAATAGTTGGGTGTAATGTAAAACTTCATGAAGCATTTTTAGTTTTTGTATAGATGAATTTGATGGGTAGACTTACATACGTGGTTAAGAGAAATCAGTTTCATTAATTTGATCAAAAATATAATGTAGAAATTTTTCTAAGTTTCAAAGGAATTTTATTATATAGACTTTGAAGTAATGCGGTTTTTAGTTATACAAATTGTTTAAGTTAATAAATTTAAATTTCAACTAAATATTGTGCACTTATACTCACTTCTTAGATTGTGTTATTTTTATTATCAAGTCCAAGTAACTCCTTTTATTTAATAAAGAAATCTTACTGCATTGTATAAGAAAGGTTTAAATGTTTGATAATCCAATATGACTGTTTTGTGTACTCATAAATAAAAGCCAAATGGACTAACGATTATCCAGTTGATTTTATTTCTTGGAAAATTAATGATTGATTCAACTTAAAATCATCCATGCCTGTGGTCATTAATTCTGCCACAAATACTGAAGTATAATGAAAAAATTTAAGTTTCTACTACATGTAAAAGACTGTAAGAAATGGATCAATATCTCGAGAAATTCATATTGTTAAAATATATATTCACTAATGAGAAATGCATTATTTAAGCCCAAAGTCCAACTGGAGAGAATATTAACTAGCACTTTTATCCTTTCCAGAATATTGAATCCAAAGAAATCAATGGAATTCATGATGAAAGCAATGCTTTTGAATCAAAAGGTAAATATCAGTATTATAACTTACATTTATAATACAGGAAAAGACATAGCACTCAAGTTCTGCTATTCTAAAAATTAATATCTGTGAGTGAAAGAAAAACTGATCTGCTGCAAGTTGAAACGAAAAAGGTTAGCACACAGATCCAATTGCAGCCAGGTGGAAGGGCGTTCAGTTCCAGTGCTGAATAGTTCAGGAACTGCAAACAAAGCTTTGGCAGCATGTTCCGGAGCTTTGAGTGCCTGCCTAAGTCAAATAAGCAAGACTGGTTTTCCTGAGGCTGTCAGCTTTCTTGCTATGGTATGCTGGCAACAGGGAATCTTAGTTAAGCATGAAACTATGAATGAAGTTTCCTTTCTTCTTTATTGTGAAAGGGACAAGTTGAAGGCAGTAAGCCATAAGAGGGAAATGCTAGTGGCAATGAAGTCGTTAGCAGAGGTACCCATTTGTAATGAAAAAGAAGGTAAAGTATCTAGGGAAATTTTGGAGTTATCTCTATCTTCCTTCTTCTGCCCATCCAGAAATAATTTAGCTGCCATACATTGTGTGCAATTCCTTAGACACAGAAAAATAAGAATAGACCCAGTCAATGTAGGCAGGGGAAGAAACACAAAGAAGGTGGGACTTCTGCCGTGAACCTAGACTGCCAAGAATGGGACTGGGTTTTCACAGTGCTTTGGTGGCTTTAAATCTACATTTGACAGTTTATAATACATTATCTTAAAGCCAACCTAAATATATAAATTTCCCTTTTCTTATCGATTATTTAATTTCGTATTTCATTTCTGATAGATAGAAGTGACTACATTTTGTTTTCAGTTGCATTCTTTATCAAAGACGTTTTTGAAGCAAACGTTGCTTATTTTTCTCTGTAATGTTACATGTAAAGCGCCCAGGTCCTGTTCTGCAGTGGCTCAGGTGAGATAGCTGATCAGACATCTAGCTCTTTGATGACTAGGGGACTCTACGTGGGCCCTATCATTGGAAGGTTTTGTTTAGATAAGTAACCACTAACTAGTGTCAAGTAATAATCGCATATATATTTTATGCCGTAGTCTTTGACAGATCTATGGAAGAAGTCAGAATGTTTTTCTTTTGTATTCTTGGCTGAACTCCATTTGCTTTACTTAATATTAGTAGCTACCAGATCTTGAAAACTAGGTCAAAAATTCTACTTAGAAGAATGTTGTAACTTTATTATTTGGTTTTATTTGATCTTTCTCTGGGTATCATTTTTTTTGTTTTCTTCACTATTACTTTTCACTTTTTATTCATAAATGTTGTGAAAACTGTTACAGACAGTTTTCCATGTAGCAGACAAGATTATGGATTAACCTAAGCAAAAACTATTAATTTCCTTTTCCCCAAAACAGTGTGACGTAGCATGGAAGATAGTACTTTGGCTTTACATAGCTGTGAAACTATGATGCTGTGTGCTAAAATTTATTAATATAAATATTTGTTTCTTCTAATTTGAATGTAGTGTAGGCTACTAAAATTGTGTGTCCCTGAGCCTTGACATAATCTATATCTTCTACGGCTATCAGTTTGTCCTCTTTTAAAATGTTTTGCTACAGATTGGAAAGGTATATCAAGTATCATTTAATTTCCCAGTGGTGAGAAATCAAAACGAATGACATGGTGTTTATTTTTTTTTCAACTAGCATCTGAATCCATTTCTTTGAAAAACTTAAAAAGGCGATCACAATTTTTTGAACAAGGTAAACCACAAAGCTAACAATTCATGCACTTTCATGGAATTGTTCTCATACTCCACTCCTCATCCTGGTCTGTGGTGCTGGGCACTGAGCCTCTTCAATTTGTGTGTCATTATGACCAACCAGCATAATCCATTTCCATTCTTTCCCTAGGGTCATCAGGCTTTTCTTACAGCTCATGGGTCTACCTCTGTGGTAATGGGTCTTTGTGTGTCCTTTGTATACCTCTAAAGGTTTTACTTTTTTTTTCAACTTTGTTAAAAAAAAAAAAAAGCGGGGGGGAGATGCTCTTAACACTTCTTTCCACTGGGTAACAGTAAGAAATGAGGAATTTCATTTAAGCCTTACTGCTTACTATAAATTGCCTAATATTAGATTACACCAACATGAAATTGCTGAGTTTTTAAAAACTCTAACCTGTTTTTGGTTATGGAAAATACTCTTAATAAAGAAGAGTTATTTTTGCTATGGGTTGGTGGCTTTGGAGTGTTGATTTGATTGCCCTGTTGACTTTGAAGTAAATGTAGAGTAAATACATTTTGGTGGCATCTGAGAACAGGTGCACTTTGAGATTCTCTGTGTTGGTGTAATTGGGCAGGGCTGCCTTAAGATGTGCTGTGCATGTGACATTTGCTTCCCTGTAACGTTTGCCCAATGCTCGCTCTCATGAATGCTGTTCAAGCTCTGTTTTGCTACTAAGAACTTAAAAGTAATAGTCATGTCTTATAACACAGCGCTTACTGAGTTTGTATATTTCGTGTTAATCACCTAATATCTTTCCTTTGGATTAAGGTCTCTTTTTGACCATAAACAGAAATAAGTTACTGGCTATGCAAGTCTGTTTGTGTCAGTATCCTTAGTGGTTTTGGTTTATATTTTAAAATAAAATTCCTGTTTGTCTATGGCTATTTAACTGAAACATTATGATACTCCTTGCTAAAACTGGCTAAAATAAAGCAATTCCTTTTCTTCCTCTGTTCTAATTTTCTTCCACTTTTCTTCAAAAGGCTATTCTAGGGAAGAAAATTTTTCTAGGTCTCAAAGCAATTTTCTTTAAAAAATTGTGAATAATTTATTTGACAGCTGAGATTTCAAGAAAATTTAAAAGTACTGTATGATAGTATATTTTCTGATATTTTACTTTTTAAATAATCATTGTTCTATGTAAAGGTATACTTGCGTAGGTCCCCTAAGAATAAAAGAATGAGACTTTACCCATGGGTTTATACATGAAGTTTGAATACTTGTGTTTCAAATACTAGGAGCAGAAAAAGGAAATGTTCCTTGAACATGTTTGTTGCAGTGGCTTGCTTATGAAAGGTGACTCATTAGTAAGAAGACTAGAAAAATGTGACTTGCAGCTGTCATGATGTAACTGAGTAGCGGCAAGTAAAAAATTGGGATTTGGTAGATGTTGTAACATTTGAAATTCTTTTTTTTCCTCCTATTAGGCCAAACTATAAGATACTGCCCAGTTTATTAATAAAAGAACCTTGAAGCTTCTTCAGAAATATCCACTGATCCTTCACTAATACCTAGAGCTATGGTTTATTTTGGCATCTGTATCTTCCTTTTACTAACTTTGAATTTGAAAGATGGGTAACAGATGGAATTGTTACACCTAGAGAAAAAAGGATTCACTGACTGTTGTTCAAAAAAACATTGTCACTTAGTATACTGGCATAGAGACAGCTAATGATAGAAGTTTCTGAAAGGAATTGTTTCATAGGAATGAAGACTTACATTGTATATTTTTCTTCCTTGCCCATGTGCTGCCACACAGGAAGCTCCGATTCTGTGGTTCCTGATGTAAGTAGCATTCATTTGTCATTTGGAATAAGGTGAACTTGGTGGGACTGAATTAGTACACAGTAGTGTGCTTACCATGATTTTCAGTTGCATAAGAGTTTATCAGAGAGTTACCCTTCCAAGTTGAAAAACTTATTTTAAAATACAAAGCCAGATCTCCCTTGGTACAGTTTAAGCAAACTGTGGTATGAATAATTTATGTGTGCAAAAGTGGTTCAGTAGATGACTTAATGAAGCTGTTCTCTATTTGTGTCTCTTCTCTGATAACTGGTTAGCTTCCAGTTCCAACCGTCAGTGCCCCGAGCCGCTGGGTTTGGGATCAAGAGGAGGAGCGGAAGCGGCAGGAGAGGTGGCAGAAGGAACAGGACCGCCTACTGCAGGTAGCTCTGGCTCACATTGACGGGTCAGAACTAGGTTGGATTTCATGGCTTTTCACCAGTCGGCGTCAACCAGTATTGAGACACTAACTTTAAACTCAACAATCTCACAACCAACAAATATTTTTGTATGCAGTACATTTTCCATAAAGCAATTACTTTTCCATTTTGAAGATTTCCAGAATCATCCTTTAAAAATCATTATTTTTTAACCCCCATGTATGAAGGGCACTCACTTAGGGGGTGTGAAGTGCATGACTTTGTGATGACTTGGTTCCCATAAACTGTTTGCTAGGTCCATTGCAGAGTATTCAGCCCGTTACAGTTTGCTAGAGGCTTTAATGAGTTACAGCCATGGTAAAGGGTGGATACAGGTTGAATTCTGTGTCTATCATCTTTTACCCCAGTGTCTGCATTTTAATTCAATATACACTCTTTTCTACTTTAGGGACTAAACTCTGGTTGGCTTATGAAAATAAAATTATGGTCTTGAAAAGTTTGAGGTTGAAAGTTTAGAGATCATAAAAATGCTAATAAAGAAGATTCTTAATGTGAAGAGTTAATCTGTTATTTTAATATATGTCATATTTTCTTATAGGAAAAATATCAACGTGAGCAGGAGAAACTGAAGGAAGAGTGGCAAAGGGCCAAACAGGAGGCGGAGAGAGAGAATTCCAAGTACTTGGATGAGGTAGCGTTAGAACATGCCCGTTTAGTTTTCCTTCTCTTTGCCTTGTTGGTGGAATTAGCTGAGAAGCAGGAGACACTTCACTTCTCTCTGCCTTTGACCATATGTTCACCTGTGTAGCTCTTTGAAAAATCCAGTGAGGTCTGATTTGTTAGAATTTTGCTTGGATGTTTCAGTCTTTCTCCTAGTTTTTGCAGTATATCATTAACCAATTATGTTAATAGAACTTAAGTGCATCTTCCTCTTCTAAGTTACATGTTTGTCACTCGTGTGTAGCTTTTTTGTGGTAAAACTCTTTTTTTTTTTTTTTTTTTTTTTTTTGACGGAGTCTTGCTTTGTCACCAGGCTGGAGTGCAGTGGTGCGATCTCAGCTCATTGCAACCTCCGACTCTCTGGTTCAAGCTGTTCTCCTGCCTCAGCCGCCCGAATAGCTGGGACTACAGGCACGTGCCACCACACCCAGTGAATCTTCGTATTTTTAGTAGAGACGGGGTTTCACCAGGTTGGCCAGGATGGTCTCGATCTCTTTCCTCGTGATCCGCCTACCTCAGCCTCCCAAAGTACTGACATTACAGATGGGTGCCACCACACTGGCCTTTTAGTGGTAAAACTCTTAACATGTGTTTTGAGTGGAGTCCTGGTCCAATTATAGTTAGTATCATCTGGAACGGAATATTTATGTCTATGTGAAATTATAGAACTAAACAGATTTAGATGGATTTCTTTTTTCACTGGTCACCTAGGAACTGATGGTCCTAAACTCAAACAGCATGTCTGTGACCACACGGGAGCCCTCTCTTGTCACCTGGGAAACCACCTGGAGTGAAGGGTCCAAGTCTTCAGACAGGGAAGGAACCCGAGCAGGAGAAGAGGAGAGGAGACAGCCACCAGAGGAGGTTGTTCATGAGAACCAAGAAAAGAAGCCACAGGATCAACTTGTTCTCGAGAGAGAGAGGAAACCGGAGCAACAGCTTCAGGAAGAGCAGGAGCGGAAGCGGCTTCAGGAAGCGCAGGAGCGGAAGCGGCTTCAGGAAGAGCAGGAGCGGAAGCGGCTTC